TCGTTCTTTGAGATTCGGAAGTATTCCAGATTGTCTTCGCTAGGATTATTTAGAGCTTTTAATTTAGCGGCTTTTCTTTTTTCACACATGTTTAAGCAATCTTCATCAAACCACGATTTGTTATTCTTATTTTCCTTTTTTCCTAGACACGAGCTACCGACCGCTTTAATATTATCTCTGATCTCTATCCATAACTTGTCAATATCCTCGTGGTCCTCGTCAGGAAGCTCTAAAGCTTCAAACCTATTCTTAACATCTAGCTCGAATTGGTTTCTAATTGATGGATTTTTTAATTTTTCCAAATTAAAATTCTCAAAATCGAAACGGTTTTCTTTTCTCTTTTTTATATTAAGTTTTTGTCGAAGTTTCGCGATTACTAATTCATGATCCGACCCACATTCTGCTCCGCGATAAGACCGTACATTAATTATACTGCTTTGCCAGCTGTGTTGTATCAAGACATGATCGATTTGATTTCGTGTTTGCGAATCCGGTGATGTCCAAGTATATTTATGAATATCCTTATGTTTAAACGTCGTACTTTTAATTATCAGGTTTTTCGAGATGGCAAAGTTTATCAGACGGATCCCATTATCATTACTATATTCGTGCAAACTTTCTTTACCAATCGTCGGAATATAAACTTCTTCCCTTCCTACCTTTGCGTTCGCGTCACCTACAATTATTTTCATGTAGTTTCGTGGTAGTTTATCATAAACCCATTCGAGTTTATCGTAAAATTCACTTTTGACTTCATCGTCACTGTCTTCGGTCGGACAATGTATGTTTATTAATGCGATTTTAAACCAACGTCCCTGAAATGTAGCTACCGAAATTCTATCACTAAAGAATTGTACGTCCCTCAAAGCGGATAGTAATCTACGCCTAATTAGAAACCCGGTACCTAAACAATGATTCTCGCTTCCTCCGTACCAAATAGTGTACTTCCCTTCCCTCATCGAGCCCTCCCCTGGCCAGCGAACCTCTTGCAGAGCCACGACATCCAAATTGTACCCATTTACCTCATTCGCGACCGATTTTAGCCCCCCTGCTGTGTTTAAACTCCTTACGTTCCACGTACCAATATTTAAATCCCTATATTTCAACTTGCGCCATGAATCCCCTAAAGCAGTCCCCACCCGGAGACCCGAACGGGGGACTAGTTTACCTCCGGATAATGAGCGTTTTACCTTAGGGAGATCCATGACTTTTTGTGGTGTTTGGTGAACTAAAGATATGTGAGTAGGGCGTTCAATCCTACGTCACACCCTCCAGCAAGTCTGGTGGATCTTCTAATATAGAACTTTAATTTGAGTTCTACCAATGGGTAGTTTCTCTTCATATTTTACATGTCATGTTACCAATGTCACATTTACCTGTTGTATTTTTAATGTAACACAGTTGTAAATTTCATTAAAATTAAATTAAAAAAAAAAATATATATCGTGGACTAAACACATTTTTACGATTTTCTCTATAACGTATTTAACGATTTTTATCAAACTCAGTATATCAGTGTAAAATTAAGCAGTTTTGAATAAAATGTAGGTTTTATTTTGATTGATGATCTCTACCAGGAGGCTTAATGACTAATTTTCAATATTAGCTTCCCCTAAAGTACCTTTAATTTTCTTTATTTGAAACAATTAACCATTTCACATTAATTTCTAATATAAAATATAAAAGAATTTGATAATTAACTAAAGAAGAAATAAGAGATCGTAACGGAGAATAGTTGTAATTGAGGACTATAAGGAATACGAGCGCTCCTGAAAGATTAGAACACGCTTCCATACGTAACATGAGCTCAATTTAATGTCTCCGACAATATATTATATAAATATACATACGCGGTTTTCATAAATGCTCTTTTTCGTATTATTTAATATTTAATTGTATAAATTACAGCGATGTACATATTAAAATTTGTATATGTAAGGGTACTTATAAAAAAAAAATTCCCGCAATAAGAAATAAGACAATAAGAAAAATTCTCCTCAGTGGAAAGAACAACCGCAAGCATTTCTCTGCTAATTTAGATTTCATGTTGAACTAAGTCGCTTTTGAGCTGTTTTTTTTTGTTTTGTTAAGAGTATTTAATTATAAAAAAGTAATTCTTTTAGCATCTCATTCGCTCTTTTACGAACAGAAACTTGTTATAGAAAAATAAACAAAGAACTATCTCTACGCAGGTAAAGGAAAATAGTTTCTTAAGTGACAAACTGACTAACTAAATCTGGAACTTTACTTTTGAGTGTTTTTTAAAATAGGTTTCAGAATAAAACCATTTACATGGACTGTATTTTATACTTCAGAACTAGCAATTAAAAAATTATAATTTCTATAACGAGCAACGGTTATAGGAATAAAAAAACAAACAAAATCCATAATATAAAAAATCTTGTGCATACACACAACTTTCACTTACCGCTCTACTTGGAATAGAAGTTATTTTCTGGTAATGCTGGGCTATTATAAAATGTTTGAAGTGCGTTTTAAACGGAGCTAAAGCTTAAAGCTACAGATAAATCATTAAGACCATTAAATTACAAAAAGTCTATTTATTACATCAACGGTAGGCAATAAAACTCTAGTTACTCCATCAGCTTTTATAAACCACACAACTTTTGTCTCTGAGCCTTTCAGTTGACAGAATAACTTACTCCAATTTCAACATTTTTAAGTAATGTCATTTTAGTGATATTTCTAGTTGAAAAAGTTATCTATACAGACAGTGAGTAAGTTGATTCAAGAGTAGGTGATTGCAGTTTAGAAATATAGAACTGTGAATAAAGGTATAAATTTTGCCACTAGAAACATAACTAAAATTAACAATAAAGAATGTTGAAATTGGGGTTTGTCATTCTGTCAACCGAAAGGCTCACATATGCCTAGAGAGGTTTGAAAGTATATCTGAATATTTAACCTATAAAGGATTATGGATTGTAGGACTATTAGTTATTAAACTGTTATTTTCCATTGTAAAGTTTACTAAAATGAAATTACGAGATTTTCATTGGCTGCCATGGATAGGTCAAAAGTTATCACACTAATTGTAAGTGGATAATGTTGGGGTTTCACAAAGGGAAAATTCGTCAAATTATTTACTAATTTGTCTCTTAAGAAAAACATAAAGTTACAGAGCAAAATAAATATCTGGCCAGAAGTATTTAAATAAGAAAGTACATTAAATAAGAAAATTTACATTAAATAAATAAAAAACCTTATGTAAATTAAAAAAATATAATAAAACAAACTAATGGAACAATATAAAAAATATTTAAACTATATAACATACAAATAAGAATGAAACAAAATAATCATTGCTTAGCTAAAAAAATAAAGAAAAAATAATAATAAAAAGAGATAAACAAGATAGGAAAAAAAACATTAGATATTAAATAAATTACGTGGTTAGCCATTTTATCAGTTTAGTCAATAGGAATTGGAATAGAAGGGATTCCAGAAACGGAGCAGGCAACGAAGGAGTTTTGGAAAGAAGTGGATCTATGAAAAGGTGTATAAACATCAGAAGGTCGGGATCTTGTGATAACAGAGTGAACAGAACACTTGGATTATAGAAGATCATAAGTAAAGGAGGGACGATGACTGTTGATAATCTATCTGATAAAGAAATGTGCCAAGGAAATATTATCTACGCAAGGAAGAGAATAGCCACCCTAATTCAGCGTAGTGGTGGAAAACAAGAGAGCGTCTAGGGTTCCCAGCGACAAATCTGACAAAAAAATATTCGTAAGTATAAGGAGGCGGAGTGGCCGAATGGGCTAACGCTTGTTCACAGCACCGCGAGTTGGCCGGCAACCAGATGACCTGAATATGAGATTAAAAAAAAAAGTACGAGTTCGTGTCCCGGTTCCAGAGGGAATTTTAAATATCCAGTCCTCACCCCCCGACCTGGGAAAATCCCGTATAGCCTAAAAGGCGAGGTAGGGAAGAAGAAGAAAATAAATAAATAAATAAAAGTCTCTTCAGTCGGTTACCAAGATCCACCGAGAGACCACCCCGTATATAAGTAATGGATTGAATTCGCCTGTTAGTGGGGATGGAAAAATTAATGAAAGAAACCAGTTTGGACAAGTAAATAATGAGTACATGATGCGTTTAGATGTCCTCCTCCTCAAGACTTCTTCTGTGGCGTACAATTGACTGTATTTCACCACTTGTGTTCAATTACATTTTTTATGAATTATTGTAACTGTAAATACCTATAATATACTTACTGTAATAAATAATTATTATAATTGTTAGTATAGGGTTGACATTATCTAACTACCCCTTACTTAAAAAAAAAGAATATGATATTTTGATTAAATTTTATATTATTTTCGTAGAAATATTGTCTAAAGCAAGAATCAGTCATTAAAACCCCACTTTTCACTCAGTCTGCTTCAGAAACTATTTTAATTTCGGCCGTGTATTAAAAAAGATACCCTGCCTTTGGTTAGAATATTACTGACCCAGGATGGTAAATAGTGAGAACTCTAGAAGCGATATGAGGAGGATATGAGCCCTATGTTGATATCTAGTTGGCTATAAGTTAACAAGACAGGGGGCTATTACAGGCGGGGCAATATTCTCAAGGGACAGGGAGCAAACACAATTAGACACGAGCAGTAACATTCGCTGTTTGGTCCACTACACGTGGTCAACTCCTGGCCCCCTTTCATCTCGGTAAACACAACTTTGAGTATATCTTATCTCATGAGGAGGTTTAGCTTTGCTATAAAATAACTTAACTCAAGTAGCTTTCTCTTGTTTCTTCCAGGAAAAAGTAATAACTCTAAAGCATAGCTGTTATTTTTAAAATAACGGGACATAAAACTACTAGTGATATTTTATTACATTCCTTTCTTCTAGGATTTGGCAAAAAATTAATTTTTAGTCATTCATGGGGCATAAGTTATTAATGCAGTATAGGATTTCAGTGGGAGTCTTGGACCAAAGAAAGAAAAAAAAAAGTTATTAATCACGTTTTGCAGAACGATCATGGCGAAGAGATTTGGTTGGCAGTGACCTCGGCAGCGGACTGCGAGTACCGCGTGTTCAACACCTTCCAGATCTATCCGGACCGATTGATAGGAGATCTGGCCAGAGCGGCAGCTGAGGTGATTGGTCAAAATACTTTCGAAGGATACATGACCCACTTCGGCAGATGCTTTGTCAGGTTCTTCTCCAACTTCGGGTAAGTCTATTATGTTTCTCTTTTAGTCATATTTAGTAGAATCGAACGATTCCAAGCTGGTTGACGGACACAATGAATAAATACTTATCTTCTTTCTAATTTTTGCCTATAGGTCTAATTCGTTAAACAATTATTATAATTTGTAGATTATTGTTTATTAATTTGTATGTTTCAGGGAACATTTGTGCACCTCTTCAAAATATAAAATTTCAGTAAAAATCGAAAAGGGAGCAACGATTTCCTGAAAAGTAAAAACCAGTAATAAGAATAATCTTCACCGGGGAGGCCACTTGAATATATAGAAGAAAAGAAAACCAGACGCAAGTGAAGAGAAGAGCAAGCTGTGTGCACAGCTGAAAAACATAATGTAATAGTTAAAAAATGCAGCAGTGGGTTGTTATGTAACTGTAACATCCCACTTCTGAAAATACCCGTATTGCCTTGAGGCAGGGGAGGGTTGAAAATGAAATAAAATAAGAATAATCTACAAAATTGATTATTTAATGAATTGGACCTGTAAGCAACAAGTAAGTAGGAGATAATTAATACAGAAAAAGGTCAAAACTGAAAACTAGTAGAATAAATTCTTATAAGATGAAAAATGGTTAATCTTTTCTGGCAATGTAGTTTTTTATTAGTTACGGTATATGGGATAATATTTTTTATATAATATAATTTTTGCATGTTTATGGATGGTTTGAATGAGTCGATTTATTACTATAAAGTATTTCCTTAATATACGCGGGTTAGAAACATTTGACAACAAAAGGACTTTTTTTTTAAAATTCAGATACGACGAGGTGATCAGGGCAACTGGTAGGAACTTCACTGATTTCCTGGAGAACGTTGATAACATCCACCTTCAGATGCAGTTCACGTATCCCAAGATGGATTCTCCTTCGATGTACTTGAGCGAAAAGGATCAATCGGGAGCGGTCCTTGTCTACAGGAGTTCTCGGGAAGGATTTAAGGACTATTTCATGGGTCAGTTCAGAGGAAATTAACTTCTATGTAAACATATTGATTTAGATATTTATAATACCTTACTATTTATTTACCTGCTCGAATTCTTTTGATTGAGGGATTATGGAATTTTGTATAAATAAAAAGAAAAGAAAAAATTAAGAAAATGTATTCTTTATCCAAGGATGTTTCCCTTAAATATGTTTATAATAAATTACAAATTATAAGGCGGTCAAGCTGCCGCAATCATTGAAAAAAAAAAGATTTCTTAGTAATATAAATTCTAATAATAAATAAAATATATTTTATCGAAGACTTTACCAATCTGATGTAGAGTGATTACCAAGCAAAAGCCTAACTTGTCCAAGCACAACTAAGTAAAGATACATTGTTTTCAAATCTAGATGAAGTCTTGAGAATTATGGTGACTGTATCCATACGATGTTAAATTTTTCCTGTGCTTTGATATAGTACTTGGAAAATTGAATAACTGAGGCAGGTCAAAGTTCAAAAGCAACCTAGTTGTAATTTATTTATTTAAAAAATAAATCCAATAGGAATAAAAAATAGAACAGATCTATGTCAAAAATATAAAACAGTCCCAACATTGGAAAACTGAATTTAAATGACCTGAACCTTTTTGAAATGACATTGAGTGTTGTAGAGGTTAGTAGGACACGATCTTGTTTAGTGGGAACACACCAATGGAGAGGTATAACCATTTTAAGGTAAAATATTAGTTAGAAATAGTATAAATCTCTGTTTGAGTCTTTTCACTCGGTAATCTCGTTAGAATCTATACTCCAAAGGCCAAGGGACCCAGAGGTGTATGGAGGAGGAGTTGGAAGGAGGAAAGAAGACCGGGGATGGTTGATAGCCACCGGTGTAATCTCATCAGAAGGTGCGCTGCCGCGAATCGGGCTGTACCACAGAATGTCGTGTTTTTATTGTTCCTAAATTTATAAAAATTTCCTAAAAGACACCTATATATTTAAATATGCAATGAAATAAACAGAGTTGTATGGGCTGCAATGACATGCGCAGTTCCCATAAGCAATACCACTGCTGCTGGAAAACCCGTATGCCAGAAATGGCTAGGTAGGGTGAAAAAAAAGGTTATCGCATTAGAACCTGTCCAATAATCTACCATAATCAAAATGGAGAAAAATGAATCATGAAACCGAGGAATTGTCAGGTTAATCAGGAATAAAAACTTGGAGGTCGATAAAGTAGTTTAAAGGGCTCTTCTTTCTAGTTTGAGGTGTGATATAAGGCAATGTTGAGGTCTACCGAAAATGATATGTAATATTTTAGGATACAGGGATCAATAAAATATTTCCGATAAGATTTTGAGGAGGGAACTACTTTGTTTTTCTAATAAAATAGTTGAATGTTACATTTATAGAATGTGACCTATAGATAATGAATCATAGACAGACTAGTAAAAGGATAACTTGTATTAATTAATCTAGAGTGATATATGGTATTTCAATACTTATTATAAGACGAAGTATGTGATCAAGTAGCCATTGTAAAAGTTTAGCGAGCATTTAATTAGCGTGACTTAGTTTGATCCAAGTTGGTACCTATGATGTGACGTTGCAGTTCGCTATTTCGAACGAACCCCGTCATTAATGATCTGTTGCCCATTAGACAGAAGTTCCACAGCTAACACAACAGTACCACACTGGTATTTCACCTCGGTCACAGGAGACTTCTGGGCTTTACTAATTATTGGTTCAGCGCTTGGATAAGGACGTCTTTGTTCTAGGGCAACTCCTGGAGATCGCGAATTGTCTCTTCGGCATCAAGCTGGAGGTGAGGATTCTCGAAGAGATCAGTGCCTCTTCCAGTACATGCCAGAGGAAGAACGTCCAACTTAAGCTACGTCTCAATTACGACAATTCTAAGTAATTTTTTTTATTATTATTAGTTTTGTGATATACATATTAGCGAATATAATTAATCAGTGGCTTAAATTACGCCAATAAAACAGATGGGTGCAATACTTAAATCAATATAATGAACAATTTTAATCCAAACAAAATAACCAATTTTTATTTATATAATTAATAAGAGCGAAATTCTACTCAGTCCAGTAAATGTAAGAGAGAGTTTGAAAAAAATGCAATTTAAATTTGAAACTAAGGGGTAAGTATTGCTGGTGTTTTCTGGAAGAAGAGTGAGGGGACGCACAACTACATATTATGTAGTGTTGCCCAGAATCGGTCTTGCACTTTGCAAGATCAGACGAAGACCGCCTAACTGTTGCAAGACCAAGAACAAGATTGGTAAAAAAAAAATCGTTGTTGTGAATAAAAAGTAAGGCAAATTAATCACTAATACTTGACAATTTTAGTTAATATATGTAAATAATTGGTATAACCAATATACTTTTGCACTAACTCTTCAAATTTTTCATTCGGGCTTAGTCAGGTTTCCCCTATCTGAAAAATTACGGTGGTATCTCTATATCTAAGGTAACTGCAAGACTGTTGCGAGACTGTCGCAAGCCCAAAACCAAGACCCATACTAGTGTGTAAGACCAAGACTCATCTTGATCTTGCATTTGGGCAACACCAATATTATGCAATTGCGTCAAGTATCCATTTTCGTTATTTGAAATTTGTTTTCCAAGACCTTTTGTATACCAAAGAAATTTATGTTATGCTCTCTTCACTTCTTTAAATAAGGATTGATGAAGACTTTTCAAAAACTATTGATAGAAATAAAACATTGTTAAAAAAAAAGTTTTCATACTTGAGAAATGCATCTTTCGAGTTTCCTTGGGTTCTTTTATATCAGAGAAATTGATTTATAAAATATATAAAATTTGTATGTCAGGTTGATTTAACATAGATAATTGTGGGGATATTCCAAGATTTCTCGATGTTTTTAAGTGCCTGTTCAGAATATTTAATTATCTGATATCTGATATGATTGGTAGGAAACCTTTTCGGTACCGAAACTTTGTGAATAAAATGTCGGTATTAAGTGTAAATGATCGTATATAAATATTTGTATTCTATTTTTGCTAACGGTGACATGTGTAGTATATGGAAAATATCAGATAGAATTAAAATATAAAATCATACAGTAATAATCAGTTTATGCTCTTCTGTAAAAAAACTCAATTTCCACGACTTTTACATTAAGAGTAGTGATATGTTACAAAATATTCTTGGAGAAAATCATGCATATGTTTTTCTGAGAAAACCGTGCATATTCCAATCAACAATTTGTGTATCATATTTCATTCACAAAGTTTCGGTAACGAAAAGGATTCAGTTTGATCAATCGCGTTACATGATTAATTATTTAGAACAGGCACATAAAAACTCCGAGAAATCTTGAGAAATAACAATTTTCTATTTAAGCTTCAATTTTCTATTCAAAAGCTTGCGTACCCGTATAAGAGAGTTACTAAAATATACTTTTTTTTTTTTGTAATAAGCTGCACTTAATATATTAAACTGGTGAAAGCTACTTGAAGAAGTTTGGGCCACCAATAATTATTATAATATGTATAATAAATACTATAATAGTTATCATATAAATATTATTAAAGATAGAAAAACTGAAAACAATAACTAATATAGGTATTAGCGCCGGTTTGAGGGAGAGAAATAAATTAACTGGAATAAGTGTCTCGATTAACTGATTGGAAGAAATCAAGAGCGAAACATAAAAGATAATTTACGATAATCCGATTGAATTACATCAGTGATCGAAGAAAGAAAAGTTTACATTTGATTTAATAGCTGATTTGGAGTAATTTGCATATATATATATGACATTAATAATCCGGAATGTTCACTTATTATAGAGCGCCTCCTTTCAACTTCAACTGGCTTTAATACCAGAGATGCAGTTGAGTAAATTTCCTGGAGTCTTGATTTTACGTCCATATGCAGAGGACGGCCAGATTGTTCAAGATTTTTTTTTTTTTACTTTATTTAACGTTTTAAGATAATTTTAAATTTATTTTTTCAACTTTATGTTATCTTATTTTGTTTTTACTTCTGTTTATTTTATTGATATTACTCAATTTATTTATATCTTATATTATATTTTATATCTTATATTTATTCGTTCACCACTATTTTCATGGTACTTGATTGCAACAATTGAGAATGTATAATTATTCGATTAAAAAAAATTAAAACTTTTCTTTGTTTCTGATCAACGAAAGAATATAATCGAATTATCGTAAATAACATTTTAAGAGAGAATCACATTATTTTCATAAAAGGGTACTGCCCAATCATATTGGGTTGCTACAGACACAACACATTTACCAATCAATATAATGAACAATTCTTAAAACTAATAATCAAATATACATTATCATCAATTCACTTGTATATGAGCATAGTAAACTAGTAATTATTTCTGTTTCTTTCTCATCTCTCCCCTTATACATTACTCTTATTTTTCCTCATATTCTCCCCTATCTCTTCCTAGCCTAATTCATACTTTCTGATTACAAGTTATACAATAATGACAAGAAAAGAAAAAAAGTGCACAGACAATAAAAACAATAAATAAAATTAATATATGCAAATACAGTTGACGTGTTCAATAAATAATATGGAAATGTTGTAACATCACCATACCTCCCTCCCCCTATGAACAAATTCTCTCACTATCCTGTCCTAGTCACGTGGTAGTGGATGATTCTCAGGGAGTCGAGGATTATATTCTCTGCAAACCTTGCCATGTCCTTTATGTCGACACGAAGGCCTTTCATGAAGCTATTTGTAATGATAAATAACCAGAATTAATAAATCTAAATATATATAAATTAATTAATAATTGATTGAAATATACATAAAGTATTTAACAAATATAAATTAATATACCATTAAACATTATTGGTGTAGTTTACCAAGCTAAAATTCTGATCATGAATTGAAAGAAAACCAGTATCTCCCCTTTTTTCTTTGTACCCAATTGAGCCTAAAGCCATCTAGTGCATGTATACTTATAGTTTTTTTTTTTTTTTTGTTTAGCTACATAACAGATAAGGTGGATAAGCCTCCAATAGGATGGGACCTGCCGTGCCTATCCACTTCTTTCATAGTGAAATTGTTTCCATTCTGCGTCCTGTTCGGTCCAGGCCTACGCGTCCTCAACGCAGGTGAGAAGTTATTCGAGGTCTTCGAGGATCGTCTCATTGGTCGTCCTGTCAGCAGTTTCTTGAAGATCCTTCGGCCAAAGAGCCTCGAATTCACCTGGCAGAACGTAAGCTTATTGCTGCCATTTGTTTATAAAATAATGGGCAGATAATTTTAATTTGTCCACTAGTAAGTGAAGGATATGTCGAAAAGCAAATTATCCGGAATAATTAGAATTAGCCTGTTCCGGAAATCAGGTGACATGATCGATAAATAAAATAATCTTGACATCAATGACATTTGCTAAAGTAATATAGCATAGATGGGGAACCGCGGCCTCGGAGGCCGCAAGTGGCCTCTGTTACGTGGTTGCAGCTTAGAAGGCCACACAGCCTCCAAATGTTTTTGCGCGATATTTATTAATCTAGTGCATTAATTAAAGTATTAATCTAATAGAATTAAGATGAATGTATGTATGTAGATGTGTATATTTAGTGATAAATAAAAATAGCAACACTAAAATATAAAGAATTATTGCGGCCTCCATTAGCACTGCCTTACCTTATTGCAGCCTCTAATAATAAAAAAGTTACCCACCTATGTAACAGACGAACAAATATGAATATTTACTTAACTAATTACCTTGTACATATGTGAGTGAGTGTTAAAATTGTAAATAAATCATTTAAATTTTTTTTTATTGATTATTAATACAGTCTGCCACACTGAAGGGCATTGGTACTAGGGCTATAATATTCATTCACACAATATGTACGTAAGAAAGGAAAATAAATAGAAATAACCAAGTAAGAGGAGAAAGAAAGAAAAAAATTATATATATATATATAAATAAAAAGATAAAGTAATATACAAGATAAGTAAAATAACAGATTAAAGCCGAATGATAATAGAATAAATAAAACACATTCACACCTATGTACAATATTTACATCGGCCCAGGGGACTCTGAATCAAGCTTTGTCCCCCAATTGTGGAAGCCAAAACAGGACTCCAGGAGATCCCAGTGCTTCTCTCCCAGCCGCGTCACTGGTATTGTAATTTTTAACATTTAATTTATTTAAAATTTTGTTTGCTTAGTTCCGAAATTATCCATTCTTGAATAAAACCTTTGATGAAAATAGAGCAGAATGCATGTCTACTAAACTAAAGTCATACCAATTATATTTTTTAAAATTAATATATGCAATGAAAAAATAACCTTTTCATTTTATAAAAAGTCTGTAGAAAATACTTAAGCTTTAACACTTAAACCGGCCAAGCAGGAAAAGATCACGAAGTAAGAAGAAAAAATTGTCCAAGAGCTTTATTTTTTTGTCTCCATTTTATCATGCTTTCTCTGTTTTCTCTTGAGAGTGTATACAACTTTCATTTTATTTATTTTTTTACGAAAGTCCTGTTAACAGTTTGCCTAGGTATGTTATTTATTCCATTAGGTACAAACGATTTCGATAAATAATAATAATTTGACTAGCTTTAATAATACATTATAGAAACAATTTTATAATCAAATATAATTTTTTTTTTATAATTTTGTGAGGAGAGGTTCAGTATTAGATAAAAGAACGTGACATGGACGAATTAGCCCAAAAGATTTCATTTTATTTAATATAAAGTATGTAAATAGATAATAAATTATAAACACAATTAACATATAACTATAATAAGTATGTGATATTTATTTTTTAAACAAATTAAAAAAAAAAACTTAGATAAGCTCTGCGGTATGCCATCCTCTCCAGTTCGGATCGAAGCCGATAATCTAGTGGGTTGAGATCGGAGGCTTCTTGAGGGCCAATCCGAGGCAGTGATGAACTCTGGAATGTTCTTTGCAGCCACTGCTGAATTGACCTTATGAGCTGGAGCGGAATCGTGCTGGAAAACCCAATGACTTCCAGCAAACAGAGTATCATTTAGAGGCTTGACAACAGATTTCAGAATATTGTCCTGATAATTTTTAGCTGCTGTTTTAACTCCTTTTTCACAAAAATGGAGCTTTGTGGTGCCATCAAAGCAAACCATCACTGGGGAAGGGTGATCACCTCTTCCACTCTGCCATTGACTTCATCGGCTTCTTTAGAGCTGTGTGCGTACACACGATCATTTTGGCGATTAAATTTTTCTTCAATTGTTAAAATTTTCACATTACTAAACAAAATCTTTCGATGAAGACCATTGGTGCAACGGCCAAGGAGCAATTTGCATCTGTCCACCTAATATTTCTTAGGGAAGTGGTTAGCCTTTGTCCTGTCATTCTTCGAAATGCATTCACCCTTAGGTCATTTTATTTAATTATCATATAGTCAGAGACATTGTTCTGACAGAGATTCCAATTTCCCGAGACATGATTTGTTGTTTTTGAATGAGATTTCTTTTGATTCGAGCAGCCACTGCTCTCACTGCATTGCCGTTATCACAGTGCGGGGACGGCTCGGTCGAGGTCTGTCACATACGGATGGGGTCTCATTATATCTATTTATATTGCGGTACACGAACATAAGGCTGATAACTAAAGGTTTCAAAGTGTTTAAAATCTCTGAACTACATTTTCCAACTTAGTGCAAGGCGATTAGGTTATTAGTTTTTCTTTATCAACCCACTCCATGTTAACTGAGCGAAATAAAAATGCAAACTGATTGAGATTATTATCCTGACATGTAAAGAAAATAACCCGATAGAGGTAAGGAATATCTAAATAATACCAAAGGATATAAACCAAGTTCAACTTTTGTAACTGTATTTATGGCAGAAATAGGTACAGAAACCAGTTAATAAATAAATAATTTTTCATAAGTGTTTAAAATCGCTATACCCTTTTGGAAATAATTTTATGAAAATAATTTAATTTTTCTAGATTGTTAATTATCAAGCTGTGGCTTTCGAGATCGAGGTGTTGGCTCCGGACGAGGCCACTAACAAACCAAGGAACCTCATCTTGACTGGGCAGATGCAACTCTTGGAACCCGTTCCTGTCGTCATGTTTCTGTGCAAACCGAGGTATACCAACAAATTTTCCAACCTTAAAAGTAAACTCAGGCATAATTATCAAACAAAGTTAATTATAATTAAATAATCATATACTCCTTCATTTAAATTTTCTACTTACTTATTTCAATGATATTGATTCTTAGCACAACTAAAGACTTATATACTACTAAAGTCTACAACCAACTTTTTCCATTCAATTGTATCCTTAGTCCACCAATAATCACTCTTTTTATTCACAAAACACACAGAGCATCCGTTCACTAGGGCGATTAAGCGCAAGAAATTTTAGTTAAAATTAAGATTTTTTATTAATTAAGTAGATAATATTGCAATTGGGATCTTGTTATATTAAAACTGTGAATTCTTAAAAGATAAGATATCTCCACGAATAAACAAGCCGAACACCCCAACAGACAAACATAAGTTCATTGTCGATAAATCGTTTAATTATATGTAAAAAAAAATGATATTATGTACTTTATAAACAAATAAACTCTTCTATCTATCTATCTATCCTCCTTCATAATTCCATTTCCAGGGCGAGAAATATAGCAGAGATGAAGCACATGGGGCTTTACGTGGAAGACTTGAACGAAATCGGCTTAGGGAGAGAACTCGTCTTTAAAGGATGGGAACATTCCACAAGGTAACGAACGTCGTATGAATACTTATAGATTTTTCGCTTTTTACTCATTTTAAAATTGTATTGATAATTATAATTAACATATCATATTACAATATTTTTATTAATCGACCTTTATATAATACTAGTTGGCCCGTGCGAAAAATTCGCAGAAAATTTTGTTTTGTGAAGAAATAGCAAAACAATATGGAAATAAGCAGTTCCTATATATTATGTAAGGAAGGAATTAATATTTTACCTTAGTCGATTACAATATTCCATTAACATAATAGACCAAAATATTTGTACAAATTGCTTTGCTTTGCTTTGCTTGACTGGAAAGATAATAAAAGTAATAAAGACAAAATAATGCCCCGTTCATAGGATATTTTAAATTATAAAAAAAAATTAAATGTATGACCAACTTAATGAATACTATTAAGAAATAGTAAAGTTAATATAAAAGCCAGAAAAAAAAATTAGTAGACTATTCTACTCCTAAATGCAATATCTTTAAACAGAAAGACATTATTAAGTATACCAAAACTAATGGACTGTATCTTTATTAATAATTGCCCGATTTTTACGTTTTTTGTTTGTTTTGTAGATAATTTATTAATCTTTCTAATTATCATGGGTGCAATCAAGAAAAACATGCATGCTTTTGTAGTTATTCGCAAATAAAGTTTTGTTTTCCTCCATAACTTTTTTTCCATGAATTTTGGAGAGATGGGACTATTTTTCGCAGAGGAGAAGAATATCTTTAAAATGAGTGGTCAATTATTGGATTTGATGAAGAATTGACGAAGTTATTGCGTACCGACAAAAAAAACACCTTTTAGAAATAATATATAGGATAACTTAAGATAGTAATTATAGTCGGATAATACGTCTCTAAACTACATTTTAATGAACTACAATATCTTCTGTTTATTCATAACGTTTCGAATTCTGTTTTCTTAAATAAATAATGGGATCCTCTTCAGTTTTCTTTTAAATATGTATAGCATATAGCATCGACACCCCAAGCCGTGCAGCACTGTGAAAGCCTCAACATTACCTCCACAAGGACATCAGTCTACTGTTGTAAAGGAATACAACAAATAAATTATTTATTTATTTTTATTTTTTACGAAGAATGTATACAGTCCAGAGAACACCGATAGCAGAGAAATTTTTTGGTGATACTAGATCCAAAAATATTATTCACGTGCCCGAAGATTCTTTTCAATACGCCCTAAGACCTGACCTGACAAAACCAAAAAAAAAATCAACAAATTTTAAAATTATTTTCTGAATGTGCATGGAATTCAAGGCTATTATACTAGCTTTTTAGTTGACAGACTGACTAACTCCTTTTTCAAAATTTTTTATCTTAATTTTAGTGGCATTTCTAGTGAGAAAATGAATACCTTTATTCACAGTTCTATATTTTAACAATGCAATCACCTACTCTAGAATCAAGTTAATCACTGTCTTTACAGAGATTATAAATTTTTCAATTAGAAATATTACTAAAATGATTTTATTCAAAAATGTTGAAATTGGAGTTAGTCATTCTGTCAACTGAAAGACCCATATACTAATTGATTTGTTTTTGTATAAAAAAAAGTATTAAATTATTTCAAATCTACAAGAAATTACACCAAAACTAAAGAACGCTTCCAGTAAAGTAGGCCAAATGAAGTTAGCATACTTAAAAAACTATACGAATGAGCATTAAAATAAAAATATTGAAACTTAATTTTTTCCTGCCGTTGTCTATAATAACTACTAAGGATTTTATCCAAATCCAAAGTTAGTGCAACTGTTGGAAAGCTAAATTGCTACTATTTCGATCTGTTTCAACTTTTAGATGTTATAGTTTTGTAAGAGAAAAGTAATGAAAGACAACCGTTTTAAGTTTATATCTACCCTTCTAATTTGTTTACAGAGGTCGGGTTTGTGGTTTACTAGTTTATTGCTCTCTCAATCTCTGCTAAGTTTCGAATAGATTAGTGAAGTTGTGTTAAAGTTATCATGATTTATGTTTAAAAAATATATAATAAATTTTAGACCCTATTTAAAAAATTTAATTTGTAAATAGTAAATTAATAAAAATAATTAATTAAATAAATGCTTTTTTTCACGTTAGTTACTTAACGTGGCGATGACAAACTTAAATTATTGCATTACCCATACATCCGATATGAATCATTAATGCATACAAAATATTTCTAAAAATCTTGAAAAACGTTTATGAGCTATTTTTAATAAATAAAATATTCTTACAAACTAAAATATACTGACCATTTTTTATTTGTTCTGTATCTATTAGCGAACATCGAAGGGTGTGACCGCACAAATCCCTTTTTTAAGGAGTATAATCTAACAGCAGATGATTATTTTATTAAATATTGCAAAATAATTACAATTTTTTTTCTTTAACAGACCAAAAATTTTTATTATCGTTTTTAGTAGTTAGTAGTTGGATTTTTATGTAATTATCCGTAATAATACTAGTAATAATAACTGTAGAATTACAACTTATTAACGAGTAAAATTATTAAACAGATATATATATATATATATATATATATATATATATATATATATATATATATATATATATATTTTATTTACTCGTTTTATTTTAGGGAATGTCTCAAATTATCTCACTTATGATTAACTATTCAACTGAACATTACAAACAATAAACATGGTAGAAATTAAAAAACATTATGAAAAATGTATTTATTTATTTTTATATATTATTATTTTGTTAGGAGTTTCTGAGAATGAATACTAATGAGACCGCATACAAGAGAGATTTTTTCTTTTAGGTCCTCAAAAATAATCCATCTCGATCTCCAAATGTTTGAGATAGTACTTTTTTTATTTTAATAAATAGGCATGCATGTGTTTTTTTTCTTCTTTTTTAGGTTATTTTATTTTATTATCTATTGTATATACTTTTGATTATTATTTTGTTCTATTTATTTTATTGTTTTGTACAATAGTGTGAATGTCATCCTACCTCACTATAACCAATGTCCAAGAGTCAGATTGTTATAATACTCAATAAAGAAATAAAAAAAAAAAAAATAAATTAAATGATACATTAATTATTTTTAAAATTCCATCGTTCATAGAGGCTTCAACTTAAAAATTTTCATTATACTGCATCACATATACATTTATGATAATGTCTTTTGAATATTTCTCCTATTGTTTATTTGCATAATTATTACTTTTTATTATTTAATTATAAGCTGCATAATCATATTTACTCCGTGGTACATACCATTTGTTATCAAACTATTAACATCCGCCTGAAATTTCGTGGATAGCTTCATCTCATCGTAACCTTAAACTAATTTATTTCCGAAAACTCTTGGAATTTGGATGTTTTCAATCTGGAGATCGTCAAGCTTGTCTATTTAATTAGGCACTAAAAGCTCATAAATACCCATTTGCTTTCCACACGTAAGGTAATTTGATGGCAAAATCGAGAAAAAAAGTGGCCTACAAAAATATTGGGCCGTTTGGTCTATATAACCTCGTTACTTTGACATTTTGGGGGTGTAGGTCATGCCAAACGGCTCAATATTTTTGAAGGCCTCATTTTTTCTCGATTTAGTGTAATCAAATTATCTTACGATCCAAGTGGAAAGCAAATGGGTATTTACGAGTTTTTAATACTTTATTAAATAGACAAAGTTTGCCGATCTCCAGATTGAAAACGTCCAAATTCCGAAAATTTTCGTAAATAAAATAATTGTAGGTTACGATGAGAAGAAGCTATTTACGAAATTTCGAGAGAATGTTGATAATTTGATAAAAAGATGTCTGTACCACGGACTAATTATGATATCTATAATTTTACCATAATATTACTGATTTTAGACTTGATGAAGTGCGCGAGAAGGTGGAGAAGCAATGCGCTGAGTTAGAAGAGACATATAATAAAATGAAAGAGTGGAAAGAAGAAGGCGATAGACTTCTGTATTCAATGATACCTAAGTCTGTCGCTGAGCAGCTGAAGGCTGGAGCGTCTCCACTATCTACATGCAAGGTGTTGCAGTATTTTTATTTTTGTAATACATACTTTTATTGCTATATATATATATATATATATATATGATTTATGTGCTAAATACTAGAATTTTGCACTTTATTGACTCAAATACGTATTATCAAATAGATTCTTTGGGTTTAACGTTAATCGTGATAGGCCGTGTCAAACCAGAAAAATTGTCTATAATAATAGGGCTATGATCCTCGATGGATGACCTACCAGAAGTATGTTTATGGAAGTTTGTGTTAGAAGAGTGTATACAGTAATAATAATAATTCAGGCTATAGCGAAATATACTAATTATCGGTTTATTTATTTCAGCAAAATAAAAAACTCTACAAATTATAACGCAATGGCTTATTATTTCCAAATAATTATACATCAAAAGTAACATTACTTTCCTCGTAATATAAGGAAAAATAAATAATATTGGCCTAAATATTTTATTTTTCATACTCAGTAATTTGCTAGTTGATATTAATTTTCAGTTGATATAACACTTTCAAAAAATCAAAAAGTAAAACAAAGCTTATAATCTTTGATGTAGAAGATAAATATAATAAATAATAGGTATAATAATAAATATAAAAGATTTATGTTTAAAACACCATATCTTTACACCTGATTTCAACATTTTTTAAAATATATTTTAGGAAATTTTGCAAATGTTTAAATAACAACATCAACAAAGTATATAGTTTTTAAGTTATTCGGAAATCTAATTTTATCCCTCCTCGTAACTTTTTTTCCAGTTTCTTTTCGTTGAAGTATGTTATATAGATAAATGGTAAGGGTTTCGAAAGAGAAGACTTTAGCCAAGTTTTATTGAAATCGGTACATCTGTTCAGGCGTTACAGTCTATACGACAAAGATCTCTCGGCCCACGTCTTTAAAGGAAAGGACGGAAAGTAATGTCGAGGTAGGAGTGTCATCTTTGGATAAAAACCTCAAATTTTGAAGGGGGGGGTTTAGTTTTTAAATTTTTTTGACCATTTCTGTGGCTCATTATTGAAAAAAATAATTCTATATTAAAGCGGAATCATGTTGTGATTTGAGTCATAAGAAATTAATTATTTCTATTAAGTGGCTAAAGTGCTTTCGACCAATCTCCGATGGCTTTAGTACCAATGATGTGGTTGAGAGGGTAGCGCAGGGTTCTCCTGGAGTCCAGCTTTTCCCTCCATGGGACAAGCCTGCCTCGGAGATTGTAAATAGTGTATATAAGCATGCATGTGTTTTTTACTTTGTTTTAATTTTCTTACTTTTAAGTTATTTTATTTTATTTATTGTATACCCCTGCCATTACTTTCACGAGTGGGGAAAAAGGCTTGGCTCGGAGATCTTGAGTGAATGATTTTTTAAATTTATTTTTATTTTTTTTAGATATTGTTTAGAAGCATGTATGCATGTGAGTAGTTATTTTTATTAGTTTAGTTTATATACATTTACTTTTAGTATTATTGGTTTTTCTGTATTATTTATTTTTATTTATTGTTGATAGAGTGTGAATGTGCTCTCTGAACACTATTATAAACGTCCTTATTTGTGACAGAGTGTAATATCTCTCAATAAATATATTTAAAAAGTATTGTATATACTTTTTGATTATTATTTTGCTTTTATTTATTTTATATTTTTGTGTACATATAGTGTGAATGTTATTCTACCTCATTATAACTAATTTCCAAGTGACAGATGGTTGTAATACTCAATAAATAAAGTAAAATAAAAAAATGTTGAGGTAGGAGGATCCTCGGATGAAAACGTAAAACCTCAAATTTTGAGAGGGGAGAGGTGCTAGTTTTTGATTTTTTTTTACCATTACAATGGTTCATTATTGAAAATAATTAATAAAAAAATAATTCTATACAAAAATCATGTTGTAATTGGAGTCATAAGAAATACAGTATTTTTATTAAAACATGTTATGTATGGATTTTGATATTTGTTGAAAATGGCTCATAGGTTTTTGATATATGTAAATACAAATTTTTAAAAATTCTTATTATTTTGATATTAATTTAAATGAGTGAGCCGAATTGCGATAAGAGTGGAAATGGTGTAGTGATGCTGAATGGGCAGCCGCTTCAAATATAAACAGAAATATGTCGGATATTGTATTTATATATTATAGAAATTATGATTATGCAGATCTTATATTAGGAAACTTTGAAGTATCCACTATAATTTTATACAATAATTGGGCATATTTCATATTCGGGTGAAGATTTTAAGAATCTTAAACAGAAAAATTTATTTAAACATTTTTTTACTACCCTTTGCCAAAGAGATAGAAATGTTATGTTCTCTTTTGAGAATGGTAGACGGAAATATCATTTTACGGATAGGGATCTCTGGCCGCCTGCTGAAGGGGACCTTGAAAACTTCTCTTGTTCTTAGGAAATACGTGAGGAAAATTCTTCTCGAAGAGAAACCATTCCAAGCTCTGTATAACTGCAAACATTTACAGTATTTTTTAAACTTATTTTTTTTAAAAACGGTAATCCGATCTTTTGTAGATTTGTTCCTTTCAGAAGCGGCTTACTGATTCAATTTATTCCTTTTGAAGGACTTCGATCAGGTGACGATAATGTTCTCTGAACTTTGCGGACTGAACTACACCAACAATCTCGCCCAGGTTGCGGAAATCGTCTGTACGATGAATGAGATTTTTATGAAGTTCGACAAGATCACTGATGAATTCAAAGTTTACAAGGTAACGGCTTATTTGTTTGTATTGAGTCGTTCTTTATATGATACACATTAAAGAGTTTCACTTTTATAATAACGTTGTTATGATTTCATTTTGTGGATATAATTTCATCAGTCTTGTTTGATTATTTGTTATGTAATATTTTATTAATATTTCCAAGTGTAATTTGAGTCACAATTTTAGTCATTATGCGTTCTTTTTTCATCAAATGCTTAATTACTTTTTGTTTTTTGTTCATCCCTTCCTTGCCTTTTAGGCTATACGGGGTTTTCCCGGACCAAGGGGTGAGAGTAGGGGATAAATAAATGTCAGAGTTAAAAGTCTCTCACCTGAGCAACGAGACGCGAACTCTGCCATCCCTCCATTCCTTTTTTAATTACTTATAACTTTCATTATTTATCTTTAATAATCATAAGATATACCAATGATCGGTTGTAGCCATTTATTAAAGGTCACCTCTTCCCCATCACCACCACTCTTTCTCTTTATTCCTGTTCTTTTACTCTTCCTCCATAACTGTCCAAAGAATATTTCATATTTAAAATTAATAAAATAATATAGGAATTTTTTTGTGACACGAAAAAAAACTTCATCATCACTCAAAAAGAAATGTTTACAATAATATTTGGCTCTTTTTTATTTTAAACACACCAGCGAATTTTTTTTTCTTCACTTCACATTGATTTCACATTTATTTATGTAGTGGGATTCCTAATTAATACTGCAAACATCTGTTTTATTAAATTGAGGACTTCAGTCAAAACTCTGTAGAGTTATTAGTACTTTCCTGTAACTTCCTTAAGCGGCAATCAGTTCCAATAAATTCATTTCTGCACTTGAAATAATCTTTAAATGAACTACTCATTCCAAGCGTTTAATAAAACAGATGTTTGTAGTATCAGTTATGGATTCCGTAACAGTGAAATAATTTCACTGGTGTGTTTAAAGTAGAAAAGAGCCTAATAGTTATTCTATTATTATAATAACTGGTCCGGCGTTACTGTGCAGGTAGAAACAGTGGGAGAAGTGTATATGGCCGTCAGCGGCGCACCTGAAGAAGTCGAAGACCACGCCAACCACATTGCTAGGCTGGGTCTACGCTTCCTCAACGAATTCAGTCCTGGTTCCAATATCACCGTAAGGATTGGTATGCTATGAATATAAAATTATAATAATACTAATAATTGGTCAGTATTGTACTCTAATTGCCTAATTTTCCCTACTTTAATGGTGTATTCATTTCTACTAGCCTGAAATGAATCCACAAAAGATCCATTTGTACAAGGCTTAATATTTACTTAATATTTATCCAACCCAAACCAAGGTTCGAAGATTGATTTGGGTTGGATTAAAATTATACTCAGTGTTTTAAAAAATTTGTAAAACTTGTAGACTTCTTGGATTTTACGCTAAATATTTGGGTAAACAGTTTATATTTAATATTAAAGCTCAATGAATTTACTATTTTTTTTTTGACATAATCACAATTAACCTACAACGGACTAAAAATATATAATTTTTTTAAGTATGAGAATTATATATACAATATATATATTTTTTCTTATTTAACACACAAAAAAACAAATAGGCTCATATATTGTAGGTTAGAAATCCATGGAGATCAGAAGTACAAATCAATGATATAAAAAGAAAATTATAATTTTTCTGGGCTCCTTAATCTTATAAAGGACGATGGTAATTGATGATTTGTAGTGTTGCCCAAAATCGGTGTTGCACTTTGCAATACCAAGATCACCTGACTGTTGAAAGACCATGCAAGATTGGTGAAAAAAAAAAAAAAATGTATACAAATTAAGGCAAAATAGTTACTAATACTTGACAATTTCAGTTACTGTATGTAATGTAATATATGTATAGTCAATATATTTTTGCATTTGTCATCAATTTTTCATTCGGGCTTAGTTATGTTTCCCTCGTCTGAATTATTACAGTAATATCTCAATAGTATTAGGCTAGTAGGTAACTGCAAGACTGTTATAGGGACTCTTGCGCAAGACCGACACCAAGGCCAAGACTGACTGCGCAAGACCAAGACTCGTCTTCGAATCACCTGGAGTTCTCATTGACAAATTTTACTGTATATATGTATGTTTGTAATATTTATCAATTCTAAAACTAAAAATTGGAAACATGAATTATCATTCAGTCGATAATGAGTCGAATTAAATAGAATTTATTTAGAATATACTTAAATTGAATATTAAATATAATTACATTAAAAATATATACTTTAGTTTTTATTATAGCGCTAATTCAAGGTTTGGAACCAGAGCTCCGCTCGTGTAACTCCAGCCGATTGATGAATTATGCCAGCTTTGAAGCACTCTCCTATGAAGCTAGTTGTAAAAGGTTTTTTTTTTGTCGCTATCATAACTGTTCCATTTTTAATGCCTCCATTGCTGTAAAACTCCACCCGCTATTCCTATTTTGTCATACTTCCATATTATATTCCTTGTGTAGCATGTCCATTTTAATGTTTTATTCAAAAAACTATCCATGTTTCCAATAGTTCGCAATTTGCAATACTATTGAACAGTTATTCATGTTATCCATTATTAACAACAGATAATAATTTTTCATATTTTTCTGCAACGGAAACATTCCGTCATTTGGAAATCTAATTAAAAGTAATTTGTGATATGTTTTAGGTATGTAATCTATTTTAAGATTGTATTAATATTACATTGAAACTACAATCAGTTATTTTATAAAAATGCTGTTTAACCATCATGTTCTATTCTTAATTCCTTATAATATGATACAATACGATATCTCAGCGTATTCCCTTCTTTTTTCTTTCTTCCATAAAATTATTTTCCTTAAGAATGGTTTATTCGTTTCGTATAGAAGACTTTATGCAGTTATTTCATATTTTGAGCACCGTGTGGAATTGTAAACTTAATCAGCGTTCTGATTTGAATAATTTATAGAGGAAAAGAAAGGTATGTCACTTATCGAGTTATTGGTATAAATGGATTCAGAAAGAAAAGCTACATTCTTTCAAGAAGTTGAATACAAAATCAAACATCAAATTTCATTCATCGAATTTATTTTTTCACATTCCGACTCTGCAATAATACAGCTTTAGATTGTGAATCCATTAATAGTAATGATTTTTAATTTTATTCATCCATAGTAATCGTATTTATTTTATTTCTCTATAAATAAACATTTAAAACACTAAATAAGAAAAAAGAAAAAAAAAAAAAAAGGCTTGAGGAGCATAGCTCCGTCACTAAGGTTCTATTTTCCACTTATTTTTAATTTAAAAAAAAAATAGGAAGTGATTAAATTTTTTCATTGGCGTTAAATAGAGAAATAAAAGCTTTGTAAATTATTACCCAAATGTTTATTATATTCAAATAGTTATAAGTTTGTAATGTATAGTGAACGACTTTTACTACCACATTGGAAAATATTTATACACAAAGATTAGGACGTTAAATTAAATATTTATTTATAGGATTAAATATTTATTTAGTAGTACACATTTTTAATAAGCTATTATATCATAATTCTCAACGATGCTAGGTAGGTTTGAGATAGAAATAATAAAAAAAAAAAGATCCAGCGCCTAAACCGATGAACCGATTTTAAAGAAAGATGGTTTAAGTTTTATCCTCGAAGAACTTTAAATTTAGTTATATAATAAACTTCACCTAAAAGAAGCCGGGAAAAAATAATTACGATGTTAACATTAGCTATCCGAAAAACACAAAAAGTAATTACTTTTTTTGTCGATATTGTATGGTCATTTGAAAGTATACTATATTACCAAAAATTAAAAAAAAAATTCATTAAAATCCGACGATTTGGTAAAAAGATATGTTGTTCCAAATATTTACCAAATTTTCTAAAGCTGACCATTGTTTTGTCTTAAAGAAACTGTATGTCGGATCTTTGTAATTATTGAACTGATTTCGATGAAAGTTTTTTTATCGTTTAGGAAATTGGTATTCGATGCCTTCAAAATATGTTCTGACCCAAAAAAAGAAAAAGTGCACCTTTTTTGAGTTATTCGAAAATATATTTTTGAATTCATCAAAACTCCTTTTCAGATCCTTTTTCGAGGAAGTATGTAATATAAATAAATTTATAGTGTTTCATAGGGAATACTTTAGAAAAATTATTATTGATACCGTTACAACCGTATTAGTGCTGTAGTCTATAGAGAAACGGTTTTCCACCGCCATCTTGAAACAAAATGGCGACTGGTGATGAGACCCCTCAAAGACATGTTTCCAACACCAACTTAATCTAGATACAAGATTTCAATCTTCCAACTTTGTTAGGAGGAGCTGTGGAGATGCGCAATACTTTAAAAACAGGGAAAACGTGAAAAAACATTCTTACATATGGAAATTTTGACGATTTTTTTCAAAAGTTTAATAGCATTGTTCCGCCTTGGAACCAACTCAACCGAATTTCAGCTTATTCGGCCAAAAAGCTGAGGAAGCCGAAACATAGTGGGAAAAAATATATATGTATATATATATAAAACTGACATCTCTAAAAATTGCAGAATCCCCCCTTCCTCTGACGACTTTCGATACTGTGCAAATAGTCTGTTATTCCGAAGGAAAATAGACAAAAATCTGTATATTCTAATAATACTAGAAAACTTTCATTCCATGAAGTATTGCTTATTCTTAGTAATTTTCCACGTGCTGATTCCAAAAAAACTTTTTTAAAAAATACTGTTTCGTCGAGGTAAACATTTGTTTTTATCCCAAGTATGTTATTACACCTAACTTCAATATGTTATCGAAGTTAAAATTGTTTTGTGTTTGTGATTAATCCATCCTTTGAAAACTAAGCCCCATAAAATGATTTCTTGTTGATGTATAAATAGTGACTTGGAACTCAATATGAGTACATTAATTCTTTAATAGTATTTACATTGGTCATATTTTACTGCTATTTATTAATTTTTTTTCTCAAAATATTCGAAAACTAACTCAATACAAATTAATTATTTATTATCATCCAATATACTCAATCAGTGATTAATTGAATTAATTGTTGTTTAGGGATGCACTCTGGAGAAGTTGTCGGTGGAGTGGTCGGCACTAAATTGCCCAGGTACTGCCTCTTTGGAGACACTGTCAACACAGCATCGAGAATGCAGTCCACTTGCCCTGTAAGCAAAGCTTTTCCAAACTATGGTATAAATATATACCTTCAGGATTGATAGAAAACAATAAATAAATGCAAGCCTAGGGCCGCACATATCATATCAACAGTCCAAAAAAAGGACATAACTAATGACTGGACATTACTCCAAGACATCTTAACAAAATATTTAATGTTCCAAATTGATAGCTGTTTTTTGGATTATAGGTGTAAGATTCTCTGTCGTTTTTTGAATTCATAATATCTTGAAGAATTGACGAATGTTTGACTGATTAGTTTTTAATAATATTCATACTAAAACAATTCAGGTTTATAATAATAGAATATTAAGACAAATATATATATATATATATATATATATATATATATATATATATATATATATATATATATATATATATATATATATATATATATATATATATATTTATTTATTTGAAGCGAAACAGCACTGAAGGACTACGCGACTATGAAACTGGTTTATTTTTCAATTTCTTCCTATCTCTGCTTGAGGATATCGCTAAATTTTTTCTTCCTCTCTTCCGTCCACTTCCTTCCAGACGGAAGTTCCTTACTGTCCACCAGAGGCACCGCACTTTTCAGGAATTTCTTGTATTCTGTCCTATTCTTGTATTATCCCAAGCCTCTGTATTTCCTGTTTTATTTGTACCGTATATCCATGGTTAAACTTGTATCCCATAACCCTACTGATATATATATATATATATATATATATATATATATATATATATATATATATATATATATATACTTCAGCTAGAAATTTTATTTAGATTCGATTTCACCAGTCCCCCTAAAATAGATTAATTCTGTGAATAAAAGTACACTAAACATTGTAGTTACGTAATTTTTTAAGCATTTTTCGTTAAAGATGCCTTTAGTTAGAAATAACGAAAAATTCTCTCTTGGGAAGTATTCCAGTAATTATCCCTTGAGAATAATTCATTAGGTATATCCAACTAATAGTTATTGTTAATTTTTGAAGATTAGATTCTTATAGTAAAAACTCTTAAACCCATAATTTTTCTGATGTATATTTGCTAAGAGTTTTTTTTGTTAATCGTCCAATAAGTCCAATTTTGTCTTTCCTTAAGGTGGTCACGTTTTCTCGTTCATGGGAAGCAATAACTAAATAATTTTATTTAGGTAATTAAAAATTGCTTCATAGTAAACCACACACAATTTGCTACAAATGGAAGTACAGTTTGTCTTTTTCAAAATCATTTAAAGGGATGTTTTGAGCTGCAGAGCTAATATAATCTACCTCTTAGCCCTAATACTTATAGCTCTCCAGTGGCTGATTGTATTTTTATTCAATAAATAGATAAAAAAAAAATATAATCTATGTTTTCCTAAAATCATAGATTGTTCGCCATTGTTTTTATCATCCAGTAGATACTTCACTTTTAAATAATACTATCCTGTTTAATAAGCTTTAATTGCATACCAATTAATTTGAAATATGTTTTAGAATATAGTTGAGATTCACCTCTAATGTGTGAAAAAGTATGTGATTTGATATTCTGTCACTCAAGAGTGTCTGTATTTTCAACAAAATTAACAACCGAGAAATTATTACAAAGTTTTAATTCTTTCTTTTCTTGTGACTATAGATCTATTTTAGTAAATTAATAATGAAAATACACTTTTTATTTTTATTAGTAGAAAAAGGCCTGTTTAGTCTCCATAAATAATAACTTTATTTCAAATTTATCCAAATTTTCACCTCTTCAGGCATCATCAGGGGTAATCTCGTTTTATATGTAATTCAAAATTGTCATCTGAAAAAACATATACAAAAATCTTTCAGAGGATTTATACTAGAAATTAGCCCATGCCTGAATATGCCTGAAGAGGCAAAAATTTGGATGAATTTTAAATAATGTTATTATTTATCAAGACTAAAAAGGACTTTTTCTAATAATACGTATTATAGTATCTTCCCCTAGATCATCTTTTACTTCTTATTTCTTAATATATATACATATATATATCAATCGGTACATACATCAAATGAAATTTTTGTTAAAAATGTGATCAAGAATCACCTTTCAGAGTTTGAATATTAAGAACTGAGGCATTGTTTTCTGTCACTTTGATTTTATTGCAGCTCAATTTCTAGCGATTTTTTCCAAGCAAGTATCAAATTAAGACTAATCTTATTTGTATTTAGCATAATGATGAATTGAGAAATCAGGCGCGTGGAAAGATCTTCCAAATCATGAAGCATTATTACATTACAGTAAAGGAAAAAGAAATCAGTAAAGTTATTTTTACAAAAGTTGAGTTCATTGTGACAAGTTCTGGTAGAAGCTGCTTTGATGACTTTAGATCATTAGGTTATTTAACGCTCAATGGATAAAGTGTATTGTGAAGGAATGATCCAAGGAAGGATAGTCGAGAAAAGAAAAAAAAAATTTAAAGGTAAAATATGAGGGCATCACAAATAATTCATAGAAAAAAATATTTTACATCTTTAGTCTTCTTGGTTGAAGATGAAGAATAAGTCTAATAAGAAGGTTTAAATCTTAATATGACCATAATGTTTCAGTATATGGATGTCTCTTTCATGCTATTATGACTACGAACGCGGAAATCATAGATTAAAACGAAGTCAATGTGCGATTTATTATTATAGTACGAAAAGGACAGATAGTTGGATGGAGGACAAACAAAATATTATCGTCATTGATGATTTACTGTGAAAGAGTGTTTCTATAATATAATCTAGAAGTGGTTCGCTATATTTAGAAGCAGGACTTTCCACTTAGCAAATGGAACTTGTTTGAGGCTTCTCTTTGTTAAACTTTATTAAACCTGTGCAAATCCAACCTTCACTGGAATACATTTTGTCGTGATTCACACTCACAAACATTTAATTTGTTTACATTATCTGAAAGGAAATTTTTATACAAAGTTTTAAGACGTAGTAGTCCATAGTACAGACCCCTTTATATCTAATTATTAACATCTCCCGAAAATTTCGTGAATAACTTTTTCTACAAATATAATCTATAACTTGTTCATTTCCAAAAATTCTCAGAATTTGGGCGTTTTCAATCTGAAGATCGGCAAACTTTGTCTATTTATTTAGGCACTAAAAATTCACAAACGCCCGTTTGCTATTTCCGCTTGAATTGTAAGACAATTTGATCACAAAATCGAGAATGAAATTAGCTCAATATTGTTGGAACTCCATTCCAAAATATCCAAATAACGAGGTTGTTTAGACCGTACCAAACGGGCCAATATTTTTGTAGGCCTTTTTTTTCGATTTTGTGATAAATTATCTTTGTGTGATATTATCAAGTTGGAAGCTAATGAATTTTTAGTACCTAATTAAATTAATTAATTTAATGAGGAAACTAAAAATTAAAAGTTAATCAAATGAATTAATCAAGTTAATTAATCAAATTAAATAATTTGATAAAAAGGGGTCTTTATTGCGGGTTACAGCTAATGGTCCGTGGTACAGAATCTCCTTTTTAACGAATTATTTACATCCGCCTGAAACATTGTAAATAGTTTCATCTCCTCGTAACCTACAACCATTTTATTTACGAAAGCTGTTGGAATTGGGGCCTTTTTCAATCTGAAGGGGGAAAAACTTTGTCTATTTAATCAGGTACTATAAACTCGTAAATACCTATTTCCTTTCTACTGGGATCGTAAGAAAATGTCATCACGAAATCGAGAAAAAAGGTGCCCTAGAAAAATAGTGAACTGTCTGGATTTTGACCCCCAAATAGTCAAAATAACGAGGTTGTATAGGACAAACGTCTCAATATTTTTGTAGAGCACCTTTTTTATAGATTTTGTGATCAAATTATCTTACGATCCAAGTAGAAAGGAAATGGGTATTTACGAGTTTTTAGTACCCAAGTAAATAGACAAAGTTTGCCGGTGTCCAGATTAAAACGCCCAAATTCTGAGAATTTTTGGAAATAAGTGGATGGAAGTTACAGGTGTATGTTGATAATTCGATAAAAAGGGGTCTGTACCACGGACTATAATTTACGATCCCTAATAAACATTATTCTATTTTAATGTCATCATTATTTAATTTAAAAAAATGTTTTTTAGGCAGGCAAGGTGCAGATGTCTTCTAAAACAAAAGAACTCTTGAACGCCGATGTATTTATGACGGAATCTCGAGGAATAATTGAAGTAAAGGTAAATATTACTATTATTATATTCTTTTTAAATGATGTATTATTTTTTTAAAGAAAAATGGTATAATTTTTTTTTATATACTATACTTGACTATTTTATTGTTAATAAAACGGGAACTTCCAGCCTGAAGATCACAGGAACATATATGCCAAAATCTAATATTTTACAGCAATAATCATCGCCAGATAAATGTCTCTCATCAAGTAGAAAAGTAAATAGTTAATTGTCCATAATAAGGCCTTGATGACCGAAGCGTTGTCTGTTTTAACATTCTCGAACCTAGCAGTTTCGAACCGGTTGGAATGTTAGGACCTGGGAAGGTTGAAAAATTATTTTGAGGGTAACCTACGGAATGAATCTCATCCTTGCCACTACGGTTAGAATTTGTTTGGTTGTGTTGCAATAATAACTTCTCTGTTTCTCCTCCTGCCCCTCCCCTCCTTCCTCTGTATGCTAGAAATGTCAAGTTAGTCGGTAACGGAAAATAAAAATAAATCTGTCTTTTATTATCTGTCTCCTGCATTCAGATAATGATAAGGTAGTACATCTTCTTGCCATCATATGTTGCATGATTTGTACCATTCAATGGTTGAACCTGGAAATATTACATGGCTTATTCCTTCATCTATACCTAAAATGTCTTTCAGGCCTCTTTTTTCAAAGGTATATCCATAAAATATTGAGCTAGAACTAAATAAAATATGGTTACCCATCATTTATTACTGGCAATGAATACATAATACATTTAAGAAATTCAAGCGACCCATTCAGAGGAATATTTTTTAAAAAGTCACGCATGAAATTATGAGGTGATTCGGGCAAAAAGAGAAAAAAAAAATATCCAAGTTTCCTACTACTTCCCGAAGTCGGAAATTAGAAAATCCCATTTCATCTGTCCTCGGCTAGTTTGAATATTGGCTCAGTTTCTTTATTTCCCTCAGGATCTAGAAGCCACTTCTCGTGAATTATGATTTCCATATTGTTATTACATAAAGTGTATGTTTCTTGATTTTCCCACTATTGTTCAACAATTTACTTGTATAATTTTTTATTTAAAAATATAACAGTTATATCCTTTTTTTTTATTCTGTAAGCACTTCTTTATCAGTACTGCTTATCGTAAATCACTCTCGTTATCTAGGGTGCTGATTAGAGCACAGGTTTCCCGATTGCAAATCAGAACTGGTTTTATAACGGCGTTGTTCTTCATTATCTTTATATTTCTTGAGATTTTTCACAATTTCAGTACATTTGAGAGAGAGACAAGTTTCTGGAATCTTCTACATGGATTTTCCATACCTCAACTAGTCTATCATTATCCTCTTAGTTGCTTAGGAGGACTGCTATATCATCCTCGTACGCTAGGATTTTGTATTTCATTTCGAAGTGCACTCCTCCATTTTCAAATGATGTACTTATTACTTTATCAAGGGTTAAGTTGAACAGTAACGGCCCAGTATCAGTTCTAACTTCAAAAGCTTCAGTTTCTTCTCTTTTAATCAGGATTTTGCATTTAGGATCATTACCTCACTATAACTAATGTCTAAGTGACAGATTGTTGTAATGCTCAATGAAAAAAAAAAAAGAAAAAAAAAAACAGATTGTTGGTTTCCCACATCTTAGTCAAATTCGCCTAACTAGAGGAAATATACAGCATAGTCGTGATCTTCCAAAGGACCCCGCAGCTTAAACGGTGTGGGTGCTATGAAATCCATAAATAAGGCTTGCATATCACGATTGACTACCGATCATTTTTCTAGTATGTGCATGAAGAAGAAAATCTGATATAACATGCCTCTTTCTCTTTTGAATTATTTTTGATGGTAGACTATTATATTTTAGTAATGAGGAAGCTCCTAAAACCCCATCAATGAGGTCATTAATGAGCATCGAAAATTTATTAGGCTGTTCAAGAGATCATCTATATAACTGGAGATAAGTTCATATACTCAGAGCTAAGATCATTGATGACCAACGTAAATCCACCAATGGATTTATTTCATTTAGTTTTGGAACTTGTCCAATTCGTATATATCTGGTTGAGATTACTGGTTGTTATTAGACTAATAAAACTATTCATTATACTGTACACAACCGAAAGGAATGCTGTAAAAGCAATGATTGCCATTCTCAACATAATAGATTTGACCGGATTTTCAAACCTCTGATATCCTTTCCTTTCCCATATTTTCTGGATCAGTTCGTAATGTAGCTTAGCTCTTGGAGATTATATATATACATATATATATATATACAGACAAACACACACACACACTTATTTCTTCATTTATTAATCAAGATGTATTTTTTTCAGGGCAAAGGACCAATGGAGACATTCTGGTTATTGGGTTTCAAATGAACTATAAATATTCCAAAACTTGGTTTATTAAATAAGATTCAACAATAAATAAACTAATAAATAATATACTATTTTCTATAAACTTTTAAGATTGATTGTCTTAAAAAAAAATGGTTTTGTTACCTTTTAACAACTTCTGAGATCCTTGATCCTACCAATTTACTGTCTTGGACTTCATGATTCATTGAGACCTTATTTATATTTTAAGACCAAAAGAGATTATCCACTTTCTCATACTAAAGTACTACATATAAAGTATCAGATATTATTAAATTTGTAAGTACAAAGAAATAATTGAAGTTGAAATCATTCAAATAACAAGCACCCATAGAACTCGATAATTTTTTTCTCTTTGAATAGTTGTTTATATAGTTGGTATTGTTAACGTTAAAACTAAGAGATCCAAGCATAAGAGTTCCTAAATCATTGCTCTGCCTTGATACCCCAATCTTCATCGGTTAGATTGTTGGCCGTCGTCACAGATATCACTTTGGGACCGTCTTCGTCCGAAGATTCCTGTCTCGGAAGCCTGGTGCATTGGCAAGCATCCGCGGTGTACTTGAGGATCCAGGGAAGGTACCTGTTTACTCTGCAATATACGCCCGGGAAGTTGGGTCTGGCACATCCCTGTCCCCAAGAGACTACACCTGGAATAAACAAAGAGATAAATTGTAAAGAAATGAAGAATAATTCAATCTTAATCTGTAAAGTAATATATTTGCAGAATCCAAAAATCATAAGTTTGCTTTTCAGTGTACAGCTAACTTAAATAAATACACAGTCTAATGTGAATGAATACCTTGATATGGAATTTTGGTTTTTCTGAATTCCTAACCGTATAACTGATATAGTTGGGACACTATTTTGACCAAAGAATACCAAAACTAAAACATTACCAGGAAATCTTCAAATTAAATAAAACAACTACTTAATTTAACATTCTATCATAGATACCGGTCAAAACCTGTTTTATACCTAGTTTATCCCTATCTAGATTTTATCTCGGTTCTCATCCCTGTTTTATTCCGAACCCTATCCCGATAATTGTCAAAACACAGTACAGGTGGGGTACACTACAGAATTATAATTCAATCGAATCAATTCTTGTTATTCCTATTTTATCCTGATCCTTATCCTTATTCCTTTGTTGTCCTGGTCCTTATCCCTGTTTTGTCCCCTTTTCATCCAGCAACTACAACTACAAACTAATTTTAATTCTGATACTAATCCTTCGACAGAATCATGATCAACCACTCACGAATCCTAATAATCAATTCTGCAGAGCTATTCACCATTTTTGACATTATATTTGTTTTCACTCTAAGTAAATAATTTTTAGAGAAATCGAAATGCGATCTTATGGGGTATGTTCTAAGGATATGAGTCTCCGTCGAAACATTCAATATATTCATTATCAATAATTTAAATACTTAAGATCAGAAAAAATGTTATATCGCAATAAAGCAAAATATCAGATTGCACCACCGATGTGGGTATTCAGGAGCTTGACTGAATATATCCTTTCATAGGACTAATATCTCATCCAAGAACAACCTTGGGCTGCGGTAGAAGGTGGAAGAGCGACGAGGGACAAAGTGATATTTCATTGGTGGTAAAAACGAGTTGATGGTAAGTGGTAAGTAAGAGTTCACCTAGCTAAGGAATAAAGCGTTTTATTTTATGTTTTACTCAAGAGTGCATAAACTGTCTCCGTACTTAACCTCGTGTTTGAGTAGGGTTTCAATTGTACTTCATGTTTTAATGACGTCACTTATAAAATGTGCAATAAATTCTATGGAAATGGAAGCAGTATCTTGCTTGACATCTTCAATAAACTGTCTCATGTGGAATGAATACGATGTGATGGGTCCAATCTTAGTTTCATTACTTTACTAATATTTGCTTTAGCAGTTACTCGACATTTCTTTAGTGATATAACTATTAAAAAAATTGAGTATTTGAAATAAATCGAAATTTAGAAAATATAAAGAAGTCTTAATATGGAATACGAAATTTAGAAAAGTTACTTTTTATTTACATTAAAAAAGAAAACTAAATGTCTTTTTGAAATCATTTAAATTCGCGGTACAAGTTGAAAATTCCATTTTTTTCTGAATATATAATAATTTCCTTTGATCTTAAACTCAACATTTGAAAAAAGAACACAAAAAAGGGATTTTAAGCAAACCTCTCTTGTATAAAATTACAATTTTCCTTTAAATATAGCACAGTATGGCTAAGTCCTAATTAAATGCACATTGTTATTCAGTGTCATTGCATCACACTGTAAATGAAAAATTTTCGAGAAAAAAAAATAATAGCTAACATTCACCGGTCTGTTTTAAAATAAATCTTGGCAGCGTGGTTTTCTCTGATGGTCACCCAAATAGGGCGGTCACCCATCCAAGTACTTGCCACTCTCGATGTTGCTTAACTTTGATTACCTATTGTAAACACCGCTGTCCGCTCGGCTGACCCGGCCCCATTATGTTTATAATTGTGAATAAAAAAAAAAATATATTGGTATGGAAAAAAAGTATAACATTATACTGAGTATAAAATTTTATTTTTGTTTGCGAACGAACTAAAGTTCTATATTAAGAGAAATTAAATATTCAAACACATATTTGTTGAAACTTGATAAATTATAATAGTATGAAATACTAATTGTTTGAGTAATTGGTTTTTGTGGAGTTCAGAGGTTTTGTCAGAAGGAAAGCCACATGAGAAACTTTTCAGGTACAACAGGTAAGGAAATATTAACTTTATCTCCTTATACATAAACAAATTAGGTAATTATCATTACTGCTTTCTTTAGAAGTTTCCTATTACATCCCTATTGCATAGAATTTAGACGGTGGGAGCCATATATCTTGGGCTAGAACAATAGAGCAATCCTCTTGAATATCCTAATGGATAACCCAGGTTCTCTGGAAAACTTGGATTACTTATACGTCAAGGAGGAGACTTGTTAAGATCAAACTTTCGAGAATAAATCGACTTCCCCCCTTATATCCCACAGAAATAGTTATGAACGTGTTTTATTTTATCAACTGTGGAAACTATAGTATAACCTTACTTATTGTTAAATCAACGATTGAGGTTTTATAAGTCATCAATCTATATAAATAAAAATGTAAATATTCGTTTGTTTTCTCCGAAACTTCTTCACCGATTCCTTTGAAATTTTGACATAACGTATCTATCTGATTCAGAATTGTTTTTATATACTCATTTATATTCTCCTTGAAGCCCTTTAAATTTATGTATATAACATCCTTCCTCGAAATGTGGATGAAAAAAGTTACGATGGCTTCAGAACTATATTTGGGAATAACTCAAAAAGAGTATTTATATTGATCATACACATAATTATTTGAAAGCTTCCGAAATTCTCCGCTAATAAAAAAAAATCATAAAAATCAGACGATTATGTGCAAAATATAATGTTTTAATCATTTATTACTTTTTCTTCGGAGATTTAGAGACGGGTTGCTTCTCACATAAGGCAATTATATGTTGCGTATTCTAGAGTTGGAAAACCAGACAATCTCTGTATCTATACAAAGAATGGAACAACACAAAATAACTTATATCCACAAGTATTGTGAAGTAATGCTAATATACATGCTTTTTTTTTTTTATTTATTTTTCTATTTAACCATACTGAGCCTCTACGCTTGGGTACAGCTTTAAATATAAATACCACAAATCACGTTGTTCTCCTATTACTTAAATTATTTTATTTTTTTCCTTCTTTAGGAAGGCAATACTTTGCCAGTGATTGAATCAACCCAATGAACAAGTGTTATTGGGTACTGTCCTGACAAATTAGTGGTTTGCATTGGACCTAGGCAGGGAGAGAGGAGAGGGGTAGGAGAGATGTCTTTCGAACTGGTGCCTCAAAAATGGAAAAATATATATTTTTTCATTGTTTCATATTTGTTTATGTTTTATCACAATAGAATCTCTTTTTAAATTATAATGCATATAATTTCATACAGGTAATTTCTTATTTAAAAAAAAAAAGACCCACAGAATTAAATCCTGGATCTGATACTCCTAGTTTGTAATGTTATGAAGATGTGATCTTCTTAATTATTCATTATCATCATCATCACCATCACCATGAACGGCTGTACAACTCCTGCAGAGTCAAGGCCTCCCGCAATTTCATCCGCCAGTCCTCTCCAGGCAATGCTGCTACCTTCCAGTTGTGGACACCAAGGACACATCCGGCGTCGGCTTCCACTTCAGCCCATCTAAGTCTCGGTCTGCCTACCCTCCTTTGCGGTGAAGAACTGCTCATCTGTCAACTTCCTTAGCTCATGTTGTTCAGACATACGGAGAATGTGTCCTGCACATCTCAACCTGCCAATTTTCATTAGCCTCACAACATCGGCTTCTTTATATAGCTGCATCAGCTCATTGTTGGATCGCTTTCATCGCTCCTGATTAATATTTATTATTGGGCCGAATATTCTTCTTAAGACACGAGGTAAAAATCGAAGGAGAGCTGTTTCTTGGGCTCTTGACAATGTCCAGTACTCATATGTACAATGTCCAGTACTGGTCTGATCAGAGTTTTGTACAGGAGCAGCTTGGTTTTAAGAGAGATCACTCTACTTTTGAGATGTCCCTGGAGATCAAAATAAGCTCTATTTGAAGCCATGATGCGCCTCTGTATTTGAGGATTCATGTAGTTATTTACATTCACTTGAGAGCCAAGGTATATAAATTCCAAGACATCTTTAAAAGTAATCCCTCCGATTTCGACATTTGTCTCTCTGTGGCCTCCACTCTTTGGGTCGGACCGCATAAACTTTGATTTCTTCTCATTCACCTTTAAGCCAATTCTCGCTTCTGCTCCTTGTAGCGCTAAGAAAGTATCTTTTATAACTGCCCGTGTTCTTCCAACCAATGTCATCGGCAAACCGTAGTAATTGCAATGAGCGATTAAAGACCGTTCCAGAAATCTGAATTTGGGATGTTCTAATGGCACATTCGAGGGCAATGTTAAATAGGAGACACGCTAAGCAATCTCCTTGGCGCAGTCCTTTCTGCATTTCAAAGCAGTCCAACATAACACCTTGGATTGTGACAGTGCATTGTACCTCCTTCATTGTCACTTGTATCAGTCGCACAAGTTTAGGTGGAACCAACATATCGTGGTAGAGCTCATCTCTTAGGATGCTATCATAAGCTCTCTCAAAGTCTACGAAGAGGTAGCGTGCGCATATATTATACTCTCTTACCCTCTCTAGGATTGTTCTACTAGCGAATATTTAGTCGGCCATAGATCTTCCTCGAATGAATCGTTTCTGATATGTTCCTTAATTATTCCTATTGTATAATATTTTAATATATTATGGATTATTGATCTAGTCATTTGACAGATGCTCATACTTAACTAACAAAGGTTTTTACATTTACAAATTACTTATAAAATCTTTATGTACCTTACGAGATAGAGCAATAGGGTACTGCGAAAACTTCATTCTCATTTCTATCATTCTCAAAATTCAATCAAAAGTTTTAGGAAAAATAGTAGACGTACCGTTCTATGTGACAAATGACTCAGTAAAAAAATATTTGTTACAAACGATTCGACTGCAACACAAAACTATAAAAACTTCTTGTGACTGACACGAACCCATCAGCACAAAATATTATTTTCACGGTGGGCCCGTACATCTTACCCCTATGACTTCTAAGGCTGTGTGGCTTAGAGATTTTAAAATTTTAGTCCTGTCAGGAAATATATTTTTTTTCTTTTTTTTTTCTGTCTATAAAACATGTATTTGCGCCTGTCAACAATAAGTTGACAATCAGCAAATGTGATGGCGACAATGATATAATGACATGACAGGCATGGGGAAGGAAAGTACTCAGCAGTACCTCTTCCCTAAATATATAAATATATAAATTTTCTTATTGTAAAAGTTTACAGATATAAACTTTATGTATTTGTTCAAATAATAATACTTAATATAAACAATCTTATTAATTTAATGAGCAGTATTTACTGTTTATTATTCGAGAAAAGAAACATCTGACGAGGAGAGATAAAGAAATACTGATTAAATGCGGTACAAACAGACTAATGAAGAACCGGTGATGGTCCCTTCCAGCCGGCCGGGTCTATATCCCCTCACAACCGCCCCAGTGTGGCGCACTTAGGGCGACACCCCTGCCCTGGGGAGGGAGTGGATGGGGAGGGGGCAATCGTCTGGGGGAGGGGGAGGCGACAATTAGCCACAACTAATCCCCTCCCCGCCTTCCGGAACCGGCATCCTAATTAATCCGGTTTTATCCATTTTTTATTCCTCCGAAGGAAATGCGGTTTGGAAACTGACGACAAACAGGTCAATGTTTCACCGAACGTAGTGAAGTTGAGCTCCCTCGAAAAAACAACCACAAACTGGAAGGGAGGATCGTAATAGTTGCATGTTTCTGATCCCGGCGCCTCCTCCCTTACCCTCTTCGTCGTCTAGACAGTTCGTCCAGATCTTATAGAGCAGGGGCGAGGACTTATTAGCATAGTAGTGCTCCTAGGGATGAGGGCTGGGCTCTTGGTTTGTTAAAGAAGGGCCGAAGACTGTACGATCTAGAGTAACATGAATTATAATTAAGCAGTCCCACACATCAATTTTTATTTTACCCTAATGACAATTAAAACTAAAAAATGATTATAGTTTATCACCAAATAATATAAAAATGCTACAAATTATTTCACAATGGTTTATTGTTTCCAAACAATTATACATCTGAAGTGACATTACCTTCCTAGTTACAAAGAAAAATAAATAAATGGTGATTCCAATTATTGGACTAAATGATTTTTTTTTAATCATTAGTAATATGCTAAAAAAAATAGCATTACTTCAGTAACACATTCAACATTTAAAAACCAAAGCAAAGGATATAACATTTGCAGTAGAACATATATAAAAAAATAGAGACCATATCTTGGCTCCTTATTGTCCAATTTTAACGATTTTTTTTTATGATATTTCGTAAACTTTTAAAAACCATTACAATATCCACAAAAAGTGTATCCTTTTTGATTTGTTCGGAATTTAATTTTAAATAAATTTAAAGGCTGACTCTTGGAAACTATCCATTGTCAAAATGATACCTAAACCCATAAAGCCGCCAGAACACCCATCCTCCTAACGCTCTATCTCTCTTTTACCCATTATGGGCAAAATCCTGGCAAAAATTATCTTAAAACGCCTGTATCCCATCCTAGACTCTAAACACATTATCCCAGATCACCAATTTGGATTCCGCACATCCCACTCCACTATTCAGCAATGCCATCGTGTGGTAGATGTAGTCTCCTCTGCATTGGAGCGTGGAATGTACTGCACGGGAGTCTTTCTCGACGTTGAACAGGCGTTTGATAGAGTCTGGCATCCGGGACTGATGTACAAACTCCGTAAATTCCTACCACCTACATACTTCTCCATTATCCGTTCCTACCTTACTGACAGACACTTCAAAGTCAATCATAACAATGCTCATTCAGCACTTTTTACTCAGTTTGCCGGTGTTCCTAAATGTAGTATCCTAGGTCCTATCCTTTAGACAGTTTATACAGCTGACATCCCAACCCAATCCAACATTGTCATCACCACCTATGCCGATGACACGTGTATCCTATCAGTTAATAACGATCCATCTATTGCATCCCAAACGCTTCAATCACACATCACAAGACTTGAAAAATGGTGTGAGAACTGGAGGATTGAAATAAATTCCAATAAATCCCATCAAATTACCTTCACTCTTCGCCGTAAGCCTATGACTTCCTGTCCTACAGTATCCTTCAACAATAGCCCTCTTACCCCTGTCGAACAAATCAAATACTAGGACTCCACCTTGACAAACGACTCACTTGGATACCAGACTGAAACGACTTGAAACCGCCCGACGTTTTCGACTACTGCAGCACTTACTAGACAAACGCTCTAAGCTCACAATCAATTACAAACGACTCATATATATGACAATAATAAGACCTATTTGGAGCTTTTGGGCTCCACTAAACCATCGAATTCCTCTCGTATTCAATCCTTACAATCCAAAATCCTTCGTAAAATCCTCAACGCTCCTTACTTTGTCACAAATAAAATCATCCATAAAGACCTTAATGTTCCATATGTTTCCGATTTAGCCCAATCCAGATATCTATCCTTCCATAACAAACTGCAGAACCATCCGAATCCTCTAGTTTCAAACCTTGATTCCTCCTCGATCCCTGATAATCCTCCGAGGCGTCTGAAAAGAAGATGGCCGCGGGACCTTCTAATATAGAACTTTAATTTGAGTTCTATCAATGGGTAGTTTCTCTTCATGTTGTACATGTCATGTTACCAATGTCACATTTACTTATTGTATTTTCCATGTAATACAGTTGTAAATCTCAATAAAATAAAATTTAAAAAACAAAAAAATTTAAAGGGCGTCGAGAAAATGACTTTAGCGAAGTTTCATTGAAATCGGTACATTCGTTTAGGCGCTACAGTCTATAGCAAGGCAGGTTTTTCAGCTGCCATTTTGAAAGTAAAAGGCGGATAGTAATGTCGATGAAGGAGGAACATCCTCGAGTGACCTCTGATTTTATTACCAAAAAATGTTAGTATGTACCAAAAAGCATTACCGATAACAACAATTTCCTCTTAAATAAAAATAAAATTTAAATATAGCTGGTACAAATAATAATTCATTGGCATTGTTATTAAATATTTAATAATATGACTATTTTTAGTATTTGAGTAAGGATGGACACGTACTTTATTTTTAAATTACCTTTGACAGAATGATGACATGGGGCCCACATGTAAAATTAAAATTTAAGACACTTAACAAAAGGCTATAACTACTCTACTCTCTTTTTTTCTAAATCTTCAAAACTGAAACTAATACAGAAAACAGAATACATATACATACTTACTTAAACTTATATGGAAATACTCATCACATATATACGGTTTCGCTAAAAAGGCCCACCTACAAAAACTTCTAACGTTCCAATCAAAATTATTGCGACTCATAACAAAAGCAACTTTGCACGTAACTAACAAAACTCTACACACTGACCTCCACCTTTCAACAGTTGACCAACACATAATGACCATTTACTAATGATTTTACACTCATTTGAACGGGCATAATAACAGACTAATAAGAGAGATGCCCACAGCTGATATACCCCTGAATATGAGGAGGAGACAGAAAGGTTGGATAAGAGATCTCCTTCCTTAAATAACTTAAGTAATTAATTCAATTCAGGAAAGAGGTGCTGCTGAATACTGTCCTTCCCAATGCCTGGCATGTCATTATATTTTGTATTTCCAGGACATTTTTATTGACAGGTGCAAATAAATTTTTAAAGCAAAGATTACATATTTTATTTTCATTGAATTGTTTGAAATGCTTTTCTTGGACCAGCACAACAGCTAGGCAATGCGAGTGATCGAATGAAGGCGACTACGACCATACACCAATACGATTCTTAATTTACTTACTTAAGCCCATTTGTATCTTTTCTTCACCGAAATAGCCAAAGAGACTCAACCCACATACATAAACTAAAAAAATTTCAGAAACTTTATTCAAGACTCCATATTACTTCACACAAAGACCCTCAAATGCAAACAGTCAACGACCACATATGTACAAAATACAAAATATTTCACCATAATTTACACTGACACAATATCATACTCGTTCATGGCGTGCCCACAATTTATATGCTCAATGGCGTCCTCGGGAGGCTCAACACAAGCTAGATGAGGGATCTCCTCGCTCAATTCAAGATAAGGAGAATGCTGAACACTTCTCTCTCTAATGGATATAAAACCCTTAATATTCGACTTCTGTACAGCATACATTCTGGTCGACAATATTTCTGACAGGTATGATTGAAGGTATAATGTTTTTTAAAAAATATTACTTTTATTACTATATAAGCTGACTTATCTTACCGACTATCATATGGTAGTCATCATCCTTAACAACGAGAGGTCCACCACTGTCTCCCTGCAAAAAAAAAATATATTTGTTAATATAATTGTCTCATATAAATATATATTTATATATTGTGGTGTTCTGAGCTAAAGTTCATAAATCATAGTTATGAAATAATTAAGGTTAGAGTTTAATAACAATAATGGAATCCAACTTTTATAGGGAATAACTTTCTTATTATTTTCATACTATTAAAAATTATTGAATCTGAATGTATACATCATTCACAAGAATTTATCTATCGATCTAAATGGTTCTACAACCCTCATTGGTTCCTGGCCTTCACTATGAGCTTCAGCCAAATTTCTCTATTCTGTGCCGCCAGTTTCTGACTCCCAACAGATCTACATAAGTATATGTAGATCAACAGGTATACCCTAGCTTTAAACCGCAAAAAAACTTTATTTTAGCATAATCGCAAATTTATATAACTTTAAATAATGTTACTAAAATAAGCATAAAGCTAGAAAAGAGAAATAAGGCAATTATGTTATAAATGGAAAAATATAAACTACAAAGCCATGAGTCTCCAAAATTCTGGTGGATAGTTAAAAATAGAAAAAAAGGAAAGGAAAATAAAAACTTTTGTTTTTTCTTTCTTTCTGCATATAAGTGATCTTGGTTGGCTGCCCTGATGATACCCACATTGGCTAAATATTTACAAATTAACTATTCACCTGTATCGTGGAGACTGGTAGTTAGGATTTTTCCATTTTTAAATTTAAATGATGTCTTACATCTAAAGCTTTGAATAATATTGAAAATATCAAATATAATTTTTACTGTTTAACAATTTTTAAGAGATTATTTTTTTTTCAATCGGTTTTTACTTGAAAGATAGTCTGTATGACATCACCAACATTTTTTAAATTTTTTTATTCTTATTTCAACATTTTATGAAATTTCACCTGCGAATGAAATGATGAACTGTATTTGTTGTGGATGTAGGATTTTACTGTTGGGATGTTTGAGTCGTTGTGTATAGTGTTATTCGAAATGTACCAAGGTGCGTTGAAAATTTTTCGTAGACTTTTTTATTGTATTGTTTGTATTTTATTTATGTGTTTGTTTTGCCGAACCCAAAAGTTCTGCATCGTATGTCCAAATTGGTCTCAGTATGGTGTAATAGATCAGTCACTTGTTTCGTAAGTTAAGTGAGCATCTGTAGTCCAGAAGATGTGAAAGTTGGTTATATCGTCTAGTCAGTTTTTGTCTTTTTAATTTAGTATGTATGTTCCAGGTAAGTAGAGTCCGAGATACAGTACATACTTTTTTGAAGGCACTGGATTATTGTCAATGATTATGGGTGGACAAAGGGCTTTCCTAAGTGAGAAAGTCACCAACTTTTAAAACAGCTTTTGTATAATAGATATTTCATTTTAATTACCAACATTGTCTTTACTTTCTATCTAATTTCACATAAAAAAAAAATCAACTGGTATAAAGAACGAATCATAGTTATTTAAACAATCAAACATATTCATATTTTAAACATTTGAGCAAAAAGAAAAAAAAGCGGTAACGGTATTCCAACCGATTCCAGAAAGAATATTCAACTACCAATAGATGTTTTCCAACGGATATTATGCGGATATATCCGAAATGTAGAGGAATATATGGAACCTCGGGCAAAAACATCGTAGGGGTTTATGCCTAGTAAAAATGTCATAACAATCCACCGCCTCTAGAATAGAATTTCTTAAGGTGGATATGATTTGTAAATCAATTCCTTTACTGGTTCATCATTTCGACATAAGTATATTCCAGTTGCAACAAGAGTATCCATACAACTTCTACTACTTATACAACTTCTCCAATAAACTAGCAACCTGAAATATTATATTATATATATTTAAATATTATATATTATAATTAAATGTACATTATTCTAAAACGACAATGTAGTAGATTTGTTTTCCTATTCTAGGTCATTAACTAATTAAACTCCATTTAAAGGTCTAGTAGAGATAAATTTAATATTACACTAACTATGATGCTTAGTTAAGTTTTTTATACCTAACCAAGAATTTTTACTATTTTAACTATTTCTACGTCAGACCATTTCGGTATATGGTCATTCATACAAACATACAGTGTTATAGTAAACTATTATCACGTTCAAACGAAGGTTAAACAGTAATTCTGTTAAAAAATTGAAACGTTGTTTTCACAAAACCGGAATTGCTTTTTATATATATTTACCATTATATAATATGAGTTTGTCCACCTTTCCACTAGCTGCATAATGCCACGTTCATAGAATGTCTGGAGTTTATTGTTAAAAAACTGATCCGAGTGATTTTTGATGTCTTCGTTTTGGAATTTCTTTCCATTCATGGAGTTCTGCAGAGACCGGAATAAGTGGAAGTCACTTGGAGCTAGCTCTGATGAATTGGAAGGGTGGGGCAAAAAGGTCCCATACAAGGCTCAATAATTTATTGCGGGTGACCAATGAGGTGTGGGACCTAGCGTTGTCGTGGTGGAACACAACACCCTTCCTGTCATTCATAGCTCTTCAGATTGTTCTCCAAATTCGATGTTATTATATCCGTTGGAAAGCTGAATTATTGCCCTTCAAAGCCGTATGAATGGTTTTTTTTTTTAATTTAATACCTACAAAAGGAAAAAAGAACTCCTTATAGGTTTTTATTTTCTATCTTCACTTGTAGTTTGTTTGAGAAGGTCCTATTGATGTCGTTTTGTGTAGTTCATGTCGCCCTAAATTTCTTGTAGATAGCTCGTATTGAAGTTATAACATTTTTTGTGATTTTCGAAAAAAAAAACCGGTGAGGGAACCAAACATTAAGCCTGGAGACATAGCCGAACTTGTGCAAATGGTTTTCTACGCTTGTATGCGACACATTTAGAGCCATAGCAATCTCTTGCACAGATTGGGTGGGATTTTTATCAACAATGGCTTTAACATTGCTCGGTTCAATTTCATGTAGGTAACCAGACCGTCTTCATTGATTGCAGATCATCACAGATCATCATTGATGTCAAAATTTCCTGAATGAAATTTGGCAAACTAATTTTGACAGGTGCTTTTTGTTAAGGCATCATCCTCATAAATACTGCAATTTTTGTTATGAGCTTCTGCAGCACGCTTACCTTTTTTAAAATAAGACAACAAAATATACCAATAATGAATGATATTTTCTTCCATATTCACATGGCAATAGCAAACACAATACCATGCTAGTTTCAACAAGAGTTAACAGATATAGTTGTTGACATATTACTAACAGGATAAACAATCCACCTTATGGATTAATTCATCAGATAAGAAGTGTATCATAGTGACATAAAAATAAATAGAAAAGTCGAAAGGACTTATTTGCCCAACCCAATTATAGTTTTAGGAAAAATAATAATTGTCCGTCGGAGTAGTCCTCCACGAAATTCTAGTATAATTATTTGTTATTCTCATGTCTCATATTATTTTCGTATTTTATCTTTTCAGCCCTTAAAAATGTTTTATGTAACCATTGTACAATTTCTCTCTTACATAAACAGAGCAAGGTATTTATATGGATGGTTTATACTCCAGATGTTTTTTGTCCGACATTGGAGAGTTTTTTTCCCTTGTTCCAAAGTTGTTTTTTATTTCTTCTTAAGTATTTGATCAGATTTAGCTTCTTCGTATTTGTGGTCCAACGGAGATTGCTCTGTTGACCTTAGAATCTTCTGGTTTAGGGATTCCCATCTCAAATATTTGAAGCTTCTCCTTCCAATTTCCAGTCTATAGCTTTATTATATATTTTTTTTTTTGATCGGGAAATGACTCATTCTTCATTTGTTATCGTAAATACAGAATACAATTCTAGTACAATCCAGTCAACCTTCCATGACTGAATTTCCATCTAGCCAAAAATCACTAATTAAATAGTTACTATGTAATAGTTTCCCTAGAAACAAGAGCTAATTAATTTTTTCCGTTGTAATTTTCACTTCCAGACAAAAATACAATAATATATATGAGCAAGAAACATTATCTTTTTTAGTCATAGTAATTGTTTGTGGTTATCAAAACAATATGAATACAAATGTAACAATAGAGATAAACATGAGCTCATAAGGACCTTAAAACTATTATAAGATAAATAAGAGAGGATGAGGAATGGACCGATGTTGCCTAGATGCAAATATAGACTATATGACCGTCTATGTTTGCTTTAGTCTGCATTTGATATGCATACTCTGTATGAGCCCATCATGGCCAAAATCCCATCCAATGCTTTTTCAACTTTTTTTCTTTGTTTGTGAGATTAATACTTGTTTGTATATTGGATCGAAATAAACAAACAAAATCTTTGCTACTAATTATCTTTATAGTTTTAAGGTGTCTTAAATAATACCGGCTAAGAAACGCTATATGATATCTAATATTCCTTTAACAATTATTTTCAATACACTCTGAACAAAAGTCAATAATAAAGCGCGTTAGTAATATGTTTGTCTTACCTCTCAGTTTAAACTGGAAAAACAATACTTCCAAGAAAAACTTCCACCCTTTTTGGCCTCTAATTTAGTCTCATTTTTCCAAATCGTTAAAGTTTAAAATCAGAAAAAAAAAACAATTACATACACATTCCTATTTTAACCCTTATGAACACATGCCTCAAAAATTAACGGTTCAGCTAAATTAACATACTTATAAAATCTTCAATATTGTTAATCCAAAGTGATGTAGTTAATAACCAGGCGTTGACAATTTTTTAAAAAAGTTCCTCCTTAACTTTTTTGATAAAAAGTTCTCAAAATAAAATTTCTAAGGAACTGTTTTTTTTTTAAAATGTAGTTTCAGATTTATGATAAAAGTTTGACTTATTTTTATTCAAGTTCTTAAAAAAAAGATACGTTAAATGAAGAATAAACAGTAATTGAGCTTAGATTATAATTGTAATTTGTGTTAAAAGAAGTTCGCATAATTAGAATGTGTCGTTTGTTTGAGCAGCTAAGAATGAAAATATTTTTTAGATTGAATTTTTAGCGAAACGAACAGAACTTTTAGATAAAAAATTTAAAAATAAAATTTCTGTAAAACTTTTACTTGAAAAGTTGCAAGAAAAAAACTATCGAAAATAAGAATTTCGTTGTTATCAAAACTTTTTAAAAAATAAAAGTTTATTTTTTCCGTTTCAAGCCTTGCTAATAACAACAGCTCCTTGGTACGTAAATAAAGAAACATTAAATACAGACACACGACAAGCAATTACCCTCAACACATGTGTATTCTTTACTTCTGATTTCATAATAAACTAGGCGGATACAAGAATGAGCTTATAAACGACATGATATGTCCATCAGAAGGATTCTAAAGAAGAGCTGGATGAGAGAATTATTTTCCTGAATTAAGGAACTAAATAAAGACCGGGTGCTGTTCTTCATCGCTGAAATACTAGAACCAAATTTATCAACACATTTGCTGATTATCACTTACATTCGTGACAGTTGCGAATGAAGATATCAAGAGGAAAAAATAATCATCTATATTAATACTTACTGTAATTTCATTTTTAAAAATATATGTATGCGATAGCGAAGTGTATATATTTGCTGGCATTAAAGTGCGATTTGCAGTTGGAAATTTCTGTTTATGAACCTATTTCAAATCAGTGAAAGATATTTATGTATACATTATAAATATATTTCATACTATATAAGTATGTTAGAAATATATTTTATATAGAAATATATATATCGAACCTTTATAAATATTTATATTATAACACTTTAATAAATGTCATTAATATAAACAAATTCCGTGTTTATCATAACATGACTAATCCGAAATAGAGCTATTTATTATTGCGGATCAGCAGAATTCTGTTGTTGTTGTAAAGGGTTTAGTATACTTTTTTTAAGGCGTTCGTTAAACTTTAACAGAAAGAAACCTCAGATTTCGTTCAAAATTTTTTAAAAACTTATTTATTGAGGAATATTACAATCTGTCTTAATTAAAGACATAATATGAACCCAAATGTACTTAAATGCCACTGTATTTTGGACCGATTAAAGGAAAATGGGACAGAAGTCGCTTTCTAGTAGATACCAGGCCATTGCGGACTCCACGGAAATGATGAAGCTGACAAACTGGTAAGAATAGATTCTGGAATGATCCAACCAGATATTTCTCTGGGCATGGATTCAACTAAAAGAATAATAAAACAGACCCTCCAAAGTTCACTGAAAGGGAAATATGCGCAAAAATTAAAGAGAAGCCATGGAATGTATTACTGGAAGAAAGTGGCAGGATCTCTAGAGACCTCCGTAGAGGGCATGCTTTAGAATGCTCACAGGACATGATTTCCTGCAGAAGCACCTTCGCCGCATCGGTATAAAAGATAGTCCAACATGTCCTCTGTGTTCCTTGGGTATTATGACAAGAGAACATTACAGGACTTCAGATGTTACTTTAATAAAATGGGCAGCCCTTATGCTACAAAAGCGAAATTATATTGGACTGCAAGAGTACGCATGGCTGATCAAGCAGGCGTTACTTAGGCAAAGCTAGGAAAAAAAAACCCAAAACAATTAAAGGCATTTATAAGAGTGTTGAGAGAGTACATCCACATTATATTTGCAATAAATAAAAAAAAAATAATAATGCGAAATAAATGTTTATTAACAAAAGAACTAAACTAATCAAAATAAAAACTTAAACACGAGCATATTTTTATACAATATTTGTTCCGATGTTTTGATTTTTTTTTTAACTCAGGAAAAAACCTGCTGTTTTTGTAATAGTTTGCAGCACGTACCTGAATTTGATAACTTGTTTTAAAATTATTATTAGGTACTGTCTTTAATTTACAACAGTACCTACACAATTCTAGTACAGAAAATCGATTCTAAATGACGATAATACGAAATTAAAATCACTTTGGGGATTGCTTTCAGAGCGAGACTCGACAGAACTGTTATGGCTGTTCATGCTTTCAAGAATTGTTGTCACATATTTGTTTCTAACTCCTTGAAAGATAAACTGGAACCGCCAAGAATAGATGATAGTAAATGATATTTTCTTTTTTCTTCAAATCGTTTAGTGTGACCTTTGAGATGGGAGTGTCTCAGAAAATATGTTGTACAATAGAAACTTCCACCCGAATGAATTTCTAAAAGACAGTCGAAGAGATGGTTAGGGATGCTCAGAGGGGAAGGGGGCGTAGAAGATTACCATGGAGGAAGTAATCCAGGAGGTCCAACCAAGCTGTCCATGCCTGAACTTAGCCTGCTTGCTTCCTCAACCGTTCTCTGCTTGGTGCTCCTACATTCCTTCCCGATCTGGAACTGTGAGTCTCATGATGTTTCTTTTTTATTTTTTCGTTGTTTTCATGAACGGTTAAAAAATACTAATTTTTTTTACATTAATAAATACTAATAGTTTACTAAGTAAGTACTATAATTAATAATTATAAATTTCTCTTGGGATAGTTCTGTTGATTTGTGTAAGTAAAAGTAAAAGAAACCAACGGTAAACATACGCAATCTGCCGAAAGAAAAATATTTTAAATTTTTACTGTTTTAATATAAACATTACATTGAATATAAAAACATATAAGTATTTAATAATAATACTTTATTTATTGTGGAACGAGTCCCTTTAAAATATTACAGAAAGATAGAAACGTGGGCTTAGCAATCTCAGAGATACATAAACAAAAACACAAAGTAAATAAATAGTCATAATGAAAAAATATAAATTATTTTTTAACTTTAACCAGTTAATAATAATAATAATAATAATAAAAACATTATACAACATGAAGTAAAAATAATTAAGAAGGATCTAATAATTTATATATATACATCTGAATAGATAAGAAATGATTGAAAAGGCGGGGTTTAATGAGAGGGAGTATATTGGAGTGACGGATGTGGAAAGGAATGGAATTCCATAGGAATGAGGATCGGATAATGAACGATCTGTCGAAAGCAGGCTGAAGAATTTAGTACTTTATATTGGACACTCTTCTTTGTGTTACCGATTT